CCAGAAGAGAGAGCGCTGACCGCCCAGCCTTCCCGGCTGGAAACAAAACAGCCTCAAATGCAATTTTGCAGCTCAGCTGGACCTGCCTCCGAACAGATGTGCGCTGGCGACAGTCATATAAATTATTCTGCTGGAAGGAAAAGGAGAAGCGATTAAAAAATATATCCTCCCTGCATCACCGCCTCTTTGGTGTAATAAAGGCATCGCGCTGCCAAGAAGTCCGTGTCGGCAAAAGGGCATCGATGCGCCAACCTTGGGAAGAGCGTCAGGACCTAGAATAAGGAAGGATCGATCACACCGAATTTCCGAAAACGGGTTCGGATTCTGGCGTTTTGGGGGGTTTGGGGGCACTCTGCGCATGCTCCAAAGGACCTATGCGTGCGGAGGAGCCAGGCCTCACCTTGATGCAATATTTAGGCCGTCAATTATTCATACTTCAGGAGACAATGCGGTGTGTTGAAAGGCACGGTTTCACCCAAGTGCTCGGATGCGAACCAAAAATGACATATTGCCCTATAGCTCCTACTACAGAGAATGGTTGCCCTATAGCTCCTACTATAGCGAATGGTTGCCTTATAGGTTGACCTATATGGTTGACCTATAGCTCCTACTACAGCGAATGGTTGACCTATAGCTCCTACTACAGCGAATGGTTGACCTATAGCTCCTACTATAGCGAATGGTTGACCTATAGCTCCTACTATAGCGAATGGTTGACCTATAGCTCCTACTACGGTGAATGGTTGACCTATAGCTCCTACTACGGTGAATGGTTGACCTATAGCTCCTACTACAGTGAATGGTTGACCTATAGCTCCTACTACGGCGAATGGTTGCCCTATAGGTTCACCTATATGGCTGACTTATAGCTCCTACTATAGCAAATGGTTGCCCTACAGGTTGACCTATAACTCCTACTATAGCAAATGGTTGCCCTATAGGTTGACCTATATAGTTGACCTATAGCTCCTACTACGGCGAATGGTTGACCTATAGCTCCTACTACAGTGAATGGTTGACCTATAGCTCCTACTATAGCGAATGGTTGACCTATAGCTCCTACTATAGCTAATGGTTGCCTTATAGGTTGACCTATATGGTTGACCTATAGCTCCTACTACAGCGAATGGTTGACCTATAGCTTCTATTATGGTGAATGGTTGACCTATAGCTCCTACTACAGCGAATGGTTGACCTATAGCTCCTACTACAGCGAATGGTTGACCTATAGCTCTTACTATAGCGAATGGTTGACCTATAGCTCCTACTATGGCAAATGGTTGACCTATAGATCCTACAATGTTGAATGGTTGACCTATAGCTCCTACTACAGCGAATGGTTGACCTATAGCGCCTACTACAGTGAATGGCTGCCCTATAGCTCCTACTATAGCGAATGGCTGCCCTATAGCTCCTACTATAGCGAATGGTTGACGTATAGCTCCTACTACAGTGAATGGTTGACCTATAGCTCCTACTATAGCGAATGGTTGACCTATAGCTCCTACTATAGCTAATGGTTGCCTTATAGGTTGACCTATATGGTTGACCTATAGCTCCTACTACAGCGAATGGTTGACCTATAGCTTCTATTATGGTGAATGGTTGACCTATAGCTCCTACTACAGCGAATGGTTGACCTATAGCTCCTACTACAGCGAATGGTTGACCTATAGCTCTTACTATAGCGAATGGTTGACCTATAGCTCCTACTATGGCAAATGGTTGACCTATAGATCCTACAATGTTGAATGGTTGACCTATAGCTCCTACTACAGCGAATGGTTGACCTATAGCGCCTACTACAGTGAATGGCTGCCCTATAGCTCCTACTATAGCGAATGGCTGCCCTATAGCTCCTACTATAGCGAATGGTTGACGTATAGCTCCTACTACAGTGAATGGCTGCCCTATAGCTCCTACTATAGCGAATGGCTGCCCTATAGCTCCTACTATAGCGAATGGTTGACGTATAGCTCCTACTACAGCGAATGGCTGCCCTATAGCTCCTACAATGTTGAATGGTTGACCTATAGCTCCAACTACAGCAAATGGTTGACCTATAGCTCCTACTATGGCAAATACCACTCCTCTGTTGAGCCAGCTCCACTGGCTGCCAATTTGCTACCGGGCACAATTCAAAGTGCTGGCTTTAGCCTATAAAGCCCTAAACGGTTCTGGCCCTACTTACCTCTCCGAACGCATCTCCTCCTATGAACCGGCTAGGACACTAAGATCATCTGGGGAGGCCCTGCTCTCGGTCCTGCCTGCATCACAGGCACGACTGGCAGGAACGAGAGACAGGGCCTTCTCGGTGGTGGCCCCTCGGCTATGGAATGCCCTACCGGTTGACATCAGACAGGCCCCTTCGTTGCTGGCGTTTTGGAGGAAGGTCAAGACATGGCTCTACGAGCAAGCGTTTGGCTAAACAATGCAACTGAACAACTGAACACAGGAAGTCGGTAAAACTGAACATAGGAATGGCACAAGGATTATGAGAATGGATCTTGTTCTGTTGAGGCGTCATGAATTGATAAGGAATTGATAATAATTGTTGATTTTGTTGTAATGTGTGATGTGTTTTTAACTGTATATTACTGTATAACTTGCACTGTGTAAACCGCATTGAGTCGCCTAATCTAGGCTGAAAAATGCGGTATAGAAATAAAGCAAATAAATAAATAAATAAATATTTATATAGATTAATAATATAATGAGGTCTTAGCCATCATGGGTGTCATGATCAGCGCTTTCATTCGGGGACAATTCCATCCTAGATTTCATGTGTTTCCTCCACCACAGACATCCCAGTGTTTCTTACTCTCTCCATTAGTGTGGAATTTGCATGACTCCACCCACTGCCTCTCCCTTCACCCTTTCCTATTCTTTTCTATGGCACACAGCAAACAGAGGAATTGATCAGCAACTGAACATACTAGAGAGGTTGGGGGAGAATTCACCATGATTTATAGGTCCTGGGATGTATAGTCCACCTGCAATCTAAGAGCACTCTGAACTCCACCAATGATGGGATTGGACCAAACTTGGCACATAGCAAACAGATGGATTGATCAGCAACTGAATATATTAGAATGGTTTGGGGAGAATTCACCATGATTTACAGGAGTTGTAGGTCCTGGGATGTATAGTTCACCTGCAATCTAAGAGCACTCTGAACTCCACCAAAGATGGAATTGGACCAAACTTGGCACACAGAACCTCCATAACCAGCAAACAATACTGGAGATCTTTGGGGAAAATTCACCTTGATTTGGGGGAGTTGTAGTTCACCTCCATCCAGAGCGTACTATGAACCCAAACAAGGATGGATCTGGACCAAACTTGGCATGCACACCCAATATGCCCAAATTTGAATACTGGTGGGTTTTGAGGGGAATTGGCATGGAGATTTTGGAGTTGTAGGCACTGGGATGTATAGTTCACCTGCAATCTAAGAACACTCTGAACTCCACCAAAGAGGGAATTGGACCAAACTTGGCACACAGAACCCCCATGACCAACAGAAAATACGAGAAGGGTTTGATGGATGTTGAGCTTGAGTTTGGGAGTTGTAGTTCACCTACATCCTACTTACCTAGATCTCCTTCAATGGCAAGTTTCAGAAAGCCATTCTGACGTTAAATGGCTGACATCAAGCGGCCGGCAGAGAGATTGCAACTGAAATATAACAAGAGGGAAGCAATGGGAGAGAGATGTACACTTAGGCAACAGACCTGGCATGCACAGCATCTGTTGGGGGGGATTGGATTGTGTCTTCATCTACTGAAGAACTGGTGTCTCTTCCAACACTGAGACCCGGATAGTGGCAAAATCTTCTTCTATGGAGGCTTTTAAACAGAAACCACATGGCCTTCTGTTGGGAGGGATCGAATTGTGTCTTCAAACAGAAACCCGATGGCCATCTGTTGGAAGGGATCAAATTGTGTCTTCAGACAGAAACCCGATGGTCATCAGCCAGGAGGGATCAAATTGTATCTTCAGACAGGAACTGGATGATCATCAGTCGAGAGGGATAAAATTGTGTCTTCAAACAGAAACCCGATAGCCATCAGTCGGGAGGGATCGAATGGTATCTTCAGACAGAAACCCAATGGCCATCAGTCGGGAGGGATCGAATTGTATCTTCACACAGAAACTGGATGACCATCAGTAGAGAGGGATGAAATTGTGTCTTCAAACAGAAACCTGATGGGCATCAGTCGAGAGGGATCGAATTGTGTCTTTAAGTAGAAACCCGATGGTCATCAGCCAGGAGGGATCGAATTGTATCTTCACACAGAAACTGGATGACCATCAGTAGAGAGGGATGAAATTGTGTCTTCAGACAGAAACCCGATAGCCATCAGTCGGGAGGGATCAAATTGTATCTTCAGACAAAAACTGGATGGCCATCATTCAAGAGGGATCGAATTGTGTCTTTAAACAGCAATCCGATGGCCATCAGTCGGGAGGGATCAAATTGTGTCTTCAAACAGAAACCTGATGGGCATCAGTTGAGAGGGATCGAATTGTATCTTCAGACAGAAACTGGATGACCATCAGTCGGGAGCAATCGAATTGTATATTGAATTGTATCTTCAGACAGAAACAGGATGGCCATCAGTCGGGAGGGATCGAACTGTATCTTCAGACAGAAATCCAATGGTCATCAGTCGAGAGGGATCGAATTGTATCTTCAAACAGAAACTGGATGACCATCAGTAGAGACGGATCAAATTGTGTGTTCAAACAAAAACTTGATGGCCATCAGTCGGGAGGGATCGAATTGTATCTTCAAACAGAAACTGGATGGCCATCAGTCGAGAGGGATAAAATTGTGTGTTCAGACAGCAACCCTATGGTCATCAGTCGGGAGGGATTGAATTGTATCTTCGTGCATTGCAGAGCGGGGTTGGGCTGGATGACCTTTAGGGTCCCTTCCAATTCTTAAAGCCTCCGTCCTCTCTCTCTGTCCAAACTCCAAATCCCATTGAGTGTGGAGGCATTGGGACGGGCCTTCCTTTTCCTGTCAGGCCTTGAAGGCTAGGCCTCAAGCCTTTGGCGGTAGCACTACCACGACGCCGACGCCGACGCCGAGCCTCTCCGGGCCTCCTTGGCTCCCCCTTCGGCCTCTTCGGAGTGGGCCGGCCTTGGAGCCAGCAGGGCCGGGCCGAGGAGGGGAGGAGCTCAAGGGCCAGGCGGCAGCCGTCCCTCGCGCCTTGGAGCCGGAGCCCACTCGGCGCCGCGGGCTTGCGGCCTAACTCCCCAGCTCTCCTGCCGAGGCTCGCCGTTCGCCGGGTAGGCCTCAACGGTTGCCGTGGCAACGCGGCCTAGTCGTAGTCCTTCACGAATGTAGGCCTGGGAGAGGAAAACATGGGGGGCAATGGAAGCGGGGAAGGAGAGGGTGATAAAGGCTTATTTGGGGAGTATTGCATCGGGGGGGGGGGGTATCAAAAGGGGTTGGAGGGGAAGAAACCAGAATTTAAATTCCAAGTTACTATTAAATTATTGTGATATTGTTGTTGCATATATATAGGGTTTATATATATGTGTGTGTATGTGTGTGTATAACAAAACTACAGTAATAACAATCTAATATAATTAATAATTGTGTGTGTGTGTATATATATATATATATATATATATAGCAACAAAACTACAGTAATAACAGTCTGATATAATTATTAATTGTGTGTGTGTGTGTATATATATATATATATAGCAACAAAACTACAGTAATAACAGTCTGATATAATTATTAATTGTGTGTGTGTGTGTGTATATATATATATATATATAGCAACAAAACTACAGTAATAACAGTCTGATATAATTATTAATTGTATATATATATATATATATATATAWAACAACAAAACTACAGTAATAACAATCTATTAATTGTTTATATATATAGCAACACACTAATAACAATCTGATATAATTATTAATTGTTTATATATATATATATATACACACAGATAGCAACAAAACTACAGTAATAACAATCTAATACAATTATGAATTGTTTATATATATATATATATATAGCAACACAGTAATAACAATCTGATATAACTATTAATTGTTTATTTATATATATATAGCAACAAAACTACAGTAATAATCTAATATAACTATTAATTGTTTATATATATATATATAGCAACAAAACTACAGTCATAACAATCTAATATAACTATTAATTGTTTATATATAAATATAGCAACACAGTAATAACAATCTAATTGTTTATATATATATATATAGCAACACAGTAATAACGATCTGATACAATAATTAGTTGTTTATATATATATATAGCAACAAAAATACAGTAATAACAATCTAATATTATTATTAATTGTATATATATATATATCACAACAAAATACAGTAATAACAATCTAATATAACTATCAATTGTTTATATATATATATAGCAACACAGTAATAGCAATCTGATATAATTATTAATTGTTTATATATATAGCAACAAAACTACAGTAATAACAATCTAATATAATTATTAATTGTTTATATATATATATATATATATATAGCAACACAGTAATAGCAATCTGATATAATAATTAATTGTTTATATATATATAGCAACAAAACTACAGTAATAACAGTCTGATATAATAATTAATTGTTTATATATATATATAGCAACAAAACTACAGTAATAACAATCTAATATAAGTATTAATTGTGTGTATATATATATATAGCAACAAAACTACAGTAATAACAATCTAATATAATTATTAATTGTTTATATATATATATATATAGCAACAAAACTACAGTAATAACAATCTAATATAGTTATTGTTTATATATATATAGCAACACAGTAATAACAATCTGATATAATAATTGTTTATATATATAGCAACAAAACTACAGTAATAACAATCTAATATAATTATTAATTGTGTGTATATATATATAGCAACAAAACTACAGTAATAACAATCTAATATAATTATTGTTTATATATATAGCAACAAAACTACAGTAATAACAATCTGTTATAATAATTAATGGCACATGTAATAATAACTAAATTTAAAGTTATTATTAAATTATTATATTGTGTGTCAGTAGACACCTCTGCCATATACACATACAGATTTTCATTTTTGTATATATATTGTGTATATAGATTGATATGTGTGTATAGATTGAATAACAATCTAATATAATAATTGGTAATGGTAATGTAATAATAATGGCCTCCCTGCTTGCGTAGCAGGTTAAATCGCTGGGCTCCTGCACTTGCTGACCAAAAGGTTGGCAGTTTGAATTCAGGAAGCGGGGTGAGCTCCCGCTGTTAGCCCCAGCTTCTGCCAACCTAGCAGTTCAAAACATGCAAATGTGAGTAGATCCATAGGTATCGCTACAGCAGGAAGGTAACAGCGCTTCATACAGTCATGCCGGCCACGTGACCTTGGAGGCATCTACGGACAACGCTGGCTCTTCAGTTTAGAAATTGAGAAGAGCACCAACCCCCAAGTCGGACTCGACTAGACTTAATGTCAAGGGGAAACCTTTACCTTTTAGTTGTGAATACACAGAAACTAATGAAATAGTTTACCGCCCTGAGTCGCCTTCGGGCTGAAATGGGCGGGATAGAAATAATGTATGTAAATAAATAAATAAATAATAGTTGCTAATGTTGATTGAATGGTTCAAATTCTAACTTCAGGTGAAGTTACGTAGGAAAATCCATGCAATTCCTGGATGTTTTCCTACATATCCTATAAACAAGTGTGGGATCAGGAAAAGCATATGTTTACGATCAATAGTAGGTTATGGATAGGATCAGGAGAAGTGTAGATATAAGATCAGGAGATACATAGGTATAGGGCCAGGAGACACTTGTGTATTGGATCAGGTGAAGCTTATGGATAAGATCAGGAGAAGCTTGTGGATAGGATCAGGAGAAGCTTGTTTATAGGAGAAGCTTGTGTCAGGAGATGCTTAGGTATAAGATCAGAAGAAGCTTAGATATAAGATAGGGAGAAGCTTGGGTATAGGATCGGGAGAAGCTTGTGTATAGGATCAGGAGAAATTTATGGATAGGATCAGGAGAAGCTTTTGTATAGGATCAGGAGAAGCTTGTGTATAGGATCAAGAGAAGCTTGTGTATAGGATCAGGAGAAGTTTATAGATAGGATCAGGAGAAGTTTGTGTATAGGATCAAGAGAAGCTTGTGTATAGGATCAGGAGAAGCTTGGGTATAGGATCAGGAGACACTTACCGGCATATAAGACGACTGGGCGTATAAGACGACCCCCAACTTTTCCAGTTAAAATATAGAGTTAAGACGACTCCCATGCATAAGACTACACCCGCGTATAAGACGACCCCTGACTTTTGAGAAGATTTTCTTGGGTTAAAAAGTAGTCTTATACGCCAGAATATACTGTAGGTATAAGATCAGAAGAAGCTTAGATATAAGATAGAGATAAGCTTAGGTATAGGATCGGGAGAAACTTGTGTTTAGAATCAGAAGAAGCTGAAGTATAAGATCAGGAGAAGCTTGTATATAGGATCAGGAGAAGCTGAAGTATAGGATCAGGAGAATATTGTGTATAGGATCAGGAGAATATTGTGTATAGGATCAGGAGAAGCTTGTGTATAGGATCAGGAGAAGCTTAAATATAGGATCGGGAGAAACTTGTGTATAGGATCAGAAGAAGATTGTGTATAGGATCAGGAGAAGCTTATGGATAGGATCAGGAGAAGTTTGTGGATAGGATCAGGAGAAGCTTATGGATAGGATCAGGAGAAGCTTAGATACAAGATCAGGAGATGCTTGTGTATAGAATAAGAAGACGCTTAGGATCAGAAGAAGCTGATGTATCTCTTCCTTTCTCTTTCAGGATGGAAGGGCAGTTTGCCTGAGCAAGGCTACCTTTCCAGGCCTTGCCGTCCGCTGGGATGTTTCTCATGAACACCTCGGCTTTGGTGGCCCTTCAGCGGCAATGGGAACCCTTCTCCCAGCCGAGGAACTATAGATATCCCGTCTGCTTCTCCGAGTCGGAAGACGACCTTCCCCGATCGGCCGTCAGCGCCAAAGTTCAGGTGATCATCAACAACCTGCAAAGCGAAGACTCGTCTCTGCACAGCGGCAGCGAATATGGCTGCCTCGTGCCGAAGAAACCAAAGGCGGAAAAAGGCCAAAGTCACAACGTTAGAAGAAGCGGGAGAGTTCTGCAGAAGCGCAACTTGGATGACATGGAAGTGGAAGAAAGGTCTGAGTTTGGGGCCCTCTTGTTGCCTTCGGACAGCGACGATTCGGTGGATCGAGACATAGAAGAGGCCATCCAAGAGTTCCTGAAGAACAAAGGCCAGGACGTCCTGCCGTTGCAAAGTGGCGCCAGTGTAAACAAAGTTGTGTCTGACTCTTTGGGAGATGGTACCGACCAATGGGTTGCTTCTCCTTGCAGCGTGAGCAGCGACGATTCTTTCGAGCAAAGCATAGAGGCGGAAATCGAGCAATTCTTGAACGAGAAGAAGCAGCAGCAGGCGAGAAAGGAGGCGACAGCCGAGGAGAAGAAGCAACTCGATCAGAAGGAGACCCAAGAGAAATGGGTTGTTACAGGTCAGAGAGAAGCTACCAACAGAGTGAGCCAAAGTTCTCCGAAGCGGGGAGACAAGGCCTTCTTCTTAAGACAGTGCTCTCATCTACAAAATGTTGGCACTCAGTGTTTGAAGCCTGAAACTGAGGGAGAAGTGGCAGGCTTCAAAACGAGCCAAACACCTTTAGCCAGCCACTCTCTTTTCCTGGAACAAAGCCGCGAAGGTGAGAAAGGGCAAAAGCTTTGGAAAACCGAAGGAGAACAAAGCAACGACATATCCGATTCAAGTAGCGACGACGGCATTGAGGAAGCAATTCAGCTTTTCCAGCTTGAGAAAATCAGGAGAGCGTCTGAATCCCGAACTGCTTGTGTCCCTTTCCAAACAGAAGAGGATATATCATCGCGTCTGCTGATCCGTTCGGTGAATGCCCTAAGCGGCAAAAGGAGAAAGCTCGCCGCCAAACCCGAAGATCTAAGTCAGATTAGCGGGAACGGAATCAGTCTGGACAGTCGCAGAAATGGTGCTTCGACGGAAAACAGCGTCGCGACGTGCGCGCTTACACTCCAGACCTCATGTCGAGCCGACACCACTACCGAACTCATGTGCGCAGAAGCCATTTTGGACATTTCCAAAACCATCTTGCCTCCTCCTGGAGGAAGCAATGCTTTCTTCTGCTCTCGGGACGGGTCGGCGTCTCAACACGAGAGTGACAGTAATTCTGTGGACAGCGACGACAGCATCGAACAAGAGATCCGGGCTTTTTTGGCCGTCAAAGCACAAACGGAGAGCTTGATAACAAAATCTGACACCCGGCACCTTAAGCGGATTCCCCGTAAACCCTTCAGACTCTCACTGAGTCATCAAAGGAAACTGAAAGGGGAAAGTAAAATAGTTAGAACGACACGGGACACGCAGCAGATGCTGTTAGAACAGAGCAATAAAGATGGAGGTGATTTAGGCATAGTACAAAACACTCAAAAGGTGGCTAGATGCTCTCAGGATACTCTGGACATTGGCAGTTCTGCGGATCCACCGTTCCAAGGTTGTGAGACAAAGTCGACGCAGAATCCGCCAAAATGTGGACTAGATTACAAGAGCAGTTCCTTGGACAGCGACGAGGATCTGGACACCGCTATCAAAGAGCTCTTGAGGTCGAAACGAAAGCTCAAGAGGAAGCCCAAAGACCCAAGAGCTCCGTGCAAGAAGAAGGTCAGATTCGATGACACTACGACACACATTCTTGGGAGCGAAGAAAGAGACTGCAAATCCCAAAAGCCTGTCTTGCTCAAGAGTTGCCTTGTGAATTCCCAAAGGGTTGAAAATACGCCTTCTCGGAACTTCGTCAAGGGGAAGCCAAAAGGCACCAAGGCCATACAGTTTAATAACAATATACAAGAGAGATCAAAAAATAATATTTGGACTGACGCATCGTTGACAGACGAGAGCAGTTCCATCGACAGCGATGACAGCATTGAGCAGGAAATTCAGAGGTTTTTGGCAGAGAAGTCTAAATCTATACTAAATATGGATACTCCTGCATCTAATGGAATTGTTGGGTGCTTGGGAGCTCGTAAATCCCAGGCAGCCGAAGCAAAGTATCAGCAATTCCAAGGTCAGAGTCATGCCGTCCCAAAACAGAGAGGGAAAATGAAGAAATTGGGTCCCCCAACGATCGACCTGCGGAACTCTCCAAGACCGGAAGAAGAGGCTACGGGAAACGGCGAGCGGATAACATCGTACGCAGTGAACTCACAGAGAATCCAAGGAATTGCAGAGTCTTCCCATCCTGATTTACCTGTAAACAGAACTGTAGAAGGAAGCCAAGTTATCCTCCATGACAAGTTGGACCAAAAAGGTCTGCCAACGGAGAGAAGCAAAGCCAAAAAACCCCAACTGCACAACTGCTTTGAGCCTTTGTTCCAATGTCGAAACTCGTATGAGTTTAAAATTTCCAGCAATTTCCTGTCAGGACTGAAAAATCAGAATAACAGACCTATACTTTGGGGGAGAAGCCAGAGCTCGGAATTGGCTTCGTTCAAAAGGCAAGGCAGTGTTCCTATAGCAAATTTTCCTGGAGAGGGGGGTGCAATGACTCCGAAGTGGGGTTCCACGAGTGGGAAAGTGCTAGATTTATCCACAAGGAGCGCCGCAAAAGGTTGGCATACATATGTAGCGGACCACAATGACACATCCCTTAGTAGTGTCACAAAAATTAAATTTTGGGGAGACCAAGAGGCCTGCTGCAGCTTTGGTGCCAACCAAAGGTCTCATTTGCAAGGGCCCAAGAGGCAAAATATGCTAAAAGCAAGCACAGGATTGTTGTGTAGCGAGAAAAAGGAAGGGCACAACATAAATTTAAATAAAGGAAAGGACGCTAGCAGCCCTTACGGCTTAACACTAAGAGGAAAGTCATTGAGAGGACGAGAAGAACAGCCTCCAAAGGGTATCAAAGTGGAAAGTTTGTAAGTCGTTCCAAAAAATAGTTCCAAAGTATGTATATAACTTCCAGTTTCAAATAGTTGCAGCAATATAAGTTAGTGTGTTGTCGAAGGCTTTCATGGCCGGAATCACTGGGTTGCTGTGAGTTTTCCAAGCTGTCTGGCCATGCTCCAGAAGCATTCTCTCCTGGCGTTTCGGCCACATCTATGGCAGGCATCCTCAGAAGTTGTGAGGTTTGCTGGAAACTAGGAAAATGGGGTTTATATACCTGTGGGATGATGTCCAGGGTGGGAGAAAGAAGTCTTGTCTGTTTGAGGCAAGTGTGAATGTTGAAATTGGCCACCTTGATTAGGATTGCAGCTTCAAATAATAATAATAATAATAACAATACTTTATTTATACCCCGCTATCATCTCCCCAAGGGACTTACATGAGGCCGAGCCCACAATACAATACAAGCAATAACAACCACAATACAAAGCAATTAAAATAAATCTTATACACAGAGTAACATGAACATTAACAATAGCACAATACACATTTAAAATCTGTGGCTAGGCCAATGTAATTAAAGTTTAAAAATAATGCTGGGTATGGACAAGATAAAGGAGGCCTGGCCGCTTCCTGCCCTGGTGGGAATCCTTTGTTGGGAGGTGTTAGCTGGCCCTGATTTTTTCCTAACTGTAATTCCCCTGTTTTTTGAGTGTTGCTCTTTATTTACTCTCTTGGTTTTAGATATTTTTTTAAGACTGGTAGCCAGATTTTGTTCATTTTCATGGTTTCACCCTTGCCTCCAACAGACAAGAGTTCTTTCTCCCACCCTGGACATTCTATAAATATATGAAACTTGCTGTGTAAGAAATTCCAGACAGGAAACAATCAGGGACAGCTAATGCCTCCCAACTGAGGATTCTCCCAGGCAGGAAGCAGCCAGGCTTTGAAGGTGCAAGGCCATTCAGTGTTTAAAAAGTTGGCTAATGGCAACGTTCACACTTGCCTCAAGCAGACAAGAGTTCTTTCTCCCACCTTGGACATCAACCCCACTTGCCTAGTTTCCAACAGACCTCACAACCTCTGAGATCGACTGCCATAGATGTGGGCGAAACGTCAGGAGCGAATGCTTCTGGAACATGGCCAGACAGCCTGGAGAACTCACAGCAACCCTTGCCAAGATTAGAAAAGGATGCTTACAAAGCAACCCAAAATGTCTCCAAAGCGCTTGAAATGGAAAAGAAGTTGTGGAATTTACCGACGTGAAGAAAACGTGTCTCCAATTATATGTTTTTGGTGGGAAGGGTGGAATCTTCTTTAGCAATATTTTTTTTACATGATTTCAAAAGTGCTTTAGCGTTGTTGTTTTTATAACAGTTTATAGACAGATTTGTCGCTTTTGAGATTATTGTATTGTTGAAAGCTTTCATGGCCGGAATCACTGGGGGGTTGTGTGTTTTCTGGGCTGGCCATATTCCAGAAGTATTCTTTCCTGACGTTTCGCCCACATCTATGGCAGGCCTCCTCAGACTTCACAACCTCTGAGGAGGCCTGCCATAAATGTGGGTGAAACGTCAGGAGAGAATGCTTCTGGAACGTGGCCAGACAGCCCGGAAAACACACGACAACCTTTTGTGATTCTTGTTCAAATGACGACATGTCTAAAGTGTCATTTTTCGACAAAGAGTTATTTCTGGTTTCCAAATAATTGAAAAAGCACTTTTTTAAATTAAAATTCGTTTTGGGGAAGGGTTGTATATAAGAAACAGGTGTACATTCATATGTTTATATGATTTAATAAACCGGTTTATGAACCGTGACAACAAAATGAGTTCTGTGTTGTGTGACTTGTTTATGCAAACCTTTTTCAAAGCAGTTTTGTCAAATTCTTATTATTATTATTATATGATACACAACAGGATTAGTAAACAACAGACAAGATCATTTTGCTGGCTTTTGTATTTGATCACACGTTGGACACTTCCCAAGTCTCTAGGACTGTGTGATGTATCGACAAACAATGTGTGCAGATCCCAGTAAGGTGGCCTTTTGCAACTGACAGATTGTAATTTTGTCAGCGCTGATTGTTTTTAAGTGCAGGCCAAGGTCTTGAGGAACTGTACCCAGTGTGCCAATCACCACTGGGACCCCTTGACTGGCTTGTGCCAGAGTCTTCGCAATTCCATCTTTAAATCCTCTTATTGTATAAGCTTGCCGATTGGGATTGCAACGTCAACAACCCATACTTTGTTGTTTTTTTTCCACGATCTCGAAGTCAGGAGTATTGAGCTCCATAACTCTGAATTTGGAATTCCGAGATTAGTTTGACATGTTCATTTTGTGTAACTTTTTCAGGCTCGTGGTCCCACCAGTTTTTTGTCGCAGGCAGATAGTATTTGTGTCACAAATTCCAGTGGATCATCTAAGCAAAAGTATTGTGCCTCTGCTTATAGTCTGTCTGCGCAATCTTCTTGTAGCAGCTGAGTTATTACTATTAGTATTATTATTATTTACTGTATGTTGTGTGTTTGGAATATGCAGACTTTTTCAAGGCAGTTCTGTTATGATGATGAGCTGCATCTTGTGTGTCTTGTGTATGCAAACCTTTTAAAGGCAGTTTTGTCATTATTATTAATATTATTAATGCTAGCTTGGATACCCAGCATTGCTCAGGTGATAGAGTCTGCAGAACATAAATGCAGGATGCTGCTGGTCCCAGGAAAACTATTATCCCCAAACTAAGACTGTAATGTACCAACGTGATTTTATATATTACTAGCCGTCCCCTGCCACATGTTGCTGTGGCCCACATGGGAGTTATGTGTGGGAGGTTTGGCCCAATTCTATCGCTGGTGGGGTTCAGAATGCTCTGCGATTGTAGGTGAACTATAAATCCCAGCAACTACAACTCCCAAATGTCAAGATTCTATTTTCCCCAAACTCCACCAATGTTCGCATTTGGGCACATTGAGTATTCGTGTACAGTTTGGTCCAGATCCATCATTGTTTGAGTCCACAATGATCTCTGGATGTAGGTGAACTACAACTCCAAAACCAAAGGACACTGCCCACCAAACCCTTCCAGTATTTTCCGTTGGTCATGGGAGAACTGTGTGCCAAGTTTGGTTCAATTCCACCGTTGGTGGGGTTCAGAATGCTCTTTGATTGTAGGTGAACTATAAATCCCAGAAACTACAACTCCCAAATGACAAAATCATTTTTTTGAGTGAAGGACATAGATTGGGTTGTTAGGTGTCTTGTGTCCAAATTTGGTGTCAATAAGTCCAGTGGTTTGTGAGTTCTGTTAATCCCACAAACGAACATTACATTTTTATTTATATAGACTAGCTTGGGTGCCCGGCGTTGCCCAGGTTATTTGAAAAAGTTAATTTATTTAATTGTACCAAATGCATAAGGTTGTGGATGAACTACAGCTCCCATCATGCGAGGTTAACCCCGAGAAACTCCATCAGTACTTAAAGTTTATGTTGGGCAAATTTGCATCATCGGGGGGTTCAGTGTGCTCTCTGGCTATAGGGTAAACTACAACTCCTGCTTTGACAAGTCAGTCCCCTCAAACTCCTTCAATAGGCTGAGTCATGAGGGTTCTGTGTGCAAGTTTGGTCCAGGTCCATAATCAGTGGAGGTCACCATTTCTCTGGTTGTGGGTAAACTACAATTCCCACTATGGTGAGTTAGTCCCCTCAAACCCCTCCAGTAGGCAGAGTTAGTCATGAGGGTTCTGGGTGCAAGTTTGGTCCAGGTCCATCATTGGTGGAGGTCACAGTTTCTCTGGTTGTGGGTAAACTACAACTCCCGCTGTGGTGAGTCAGTCCACTCAAACCCCTCCAGTAGGCTGAGTTAGTCTGGCGGTTCCGTATGCCAAGTTTGGTACAGGTCCATCATCGGTGGAGGCCACCGTTTCTCTGGTTGTGGGTAAACTACAATTCCCGCTATGGTGAGTCAGTCCCCTCAAACCTCTCCAGTAGGCTGAGTTCGTCATGAGGGTTCTGTGTGCAAGTTTAGTCAGGTCCATCATCAGTGGAGGCCACTGTTTCTCTGATTGGGGGTAAACTATAACTCCCGCTTTGGTGAGTCAGTCCCCTCAAACCCCTCCAGTAGGCTGAGTTAGTCATGGGAATTCTGGGTGCCAAGTTTGGTCCAGGTCCATCATCAGTGGAGGTCACATTTTCTCTGGTTGTGGGTAAACTACAACTCCGGCTATGGTGAGTCAGTCCCCTCAAACCCCTTTAGTAGGCTGAGTTAGTCATAAGGGTTCTGTGTGCCAAGTTTGGTCCAAGTCCATCATTGGTGGAGGTCTGCGTTTCTCTGGTTGTGGGTAAACTACAACTCCCGCTGTGGTGAGTCAGTCCCCTCAAACCCCTCCAGTAGGTTGAGTTAGTCATGGGAATTCTGGGTGCCAAGTTTGGTCCAGGTCCATCATCGGTGGAGGTCACCATTTCTCTCGTTGTTGGTAAACTACAACTCCCGCTGTGGTGAGTCAGTCCCCTCAAACCCCTCCAGTAGGCTGAGATAGTCATGAGGGTTCTGTGTGCAAGTTTGGTCCAGGTCCATCATCGGTGGAGGCCACCGTTTCTCTGGTTGTGGGTAAACTACAACTCCCACTATGGTGAGTCAGTCCCCTCAAACCCCTCCAGTTGGCTGAGTTAGTCATGAGGGTTCTGTGTGCCAAGTTTGGTCCAAGTCCATCATCAGTGGAGGCCACCGTTTCTCTAGTTGTGGGTGAACTACAACTCCCAGAAAGGAAGGTCAGTTCCCTCCAGACCCCTCCAGTAATCAAATTTTGCCATATCAGGTATGTTTATGAAGTTTGGTCCAGATCTATCAGAGTTTAGGTCCACAGTGCTCTCTGGATGTAGGTGAACTACAACTCCCACAAATCAAGGTGAATTTCCCCCAAAGATCCCCAGTATATTTTGCTGTAGGCCAAGTTTGGTGGAGTTCAGATACACAACAAGTTGAATCCACAGCAAACAAGGTCGCTCTGCTGGCTGTTGTATTGGATCACACGTCGGACACTTCCCAAGCGTCTAGGACTGTGTGATGTATGATTACAGGTAAACTATAAATCCCAGTACCTTCAATTCCAATTCAGAAAAGGGACAAACAAGGCAAATGTTTTAATGTTGTGTTTTCCCCCAGGAGCCAAGTCAATAGCCAAACTATTCGCAAAAGGACGGCCCTCCGGTCCAGTAGCTGGGGTGGAAGTTGAAGGTGTCGCAGAAGGTGATGAAGTTGTCCGAACCCGTCACCAGGCTCCTCTCCACCACGGTGTTGATGCCGCTGTTGGTATACATGCCGAACGCCGCCAGTTTGCCCGTGAAGGCGTGCGGACTGACATGGAAGCAGGTCTGCGAAGGAGGCAAAACAAGAAACCCATGATTGTCCAACTGGTGCTGACCCAAGAGCCTTATGGCCTGAGGCCGGGACCTCTTTGGATTAACTCCTTCCAACAGAGAACTTGGCTCAAGCCCACGAAAAATAAGGAAGCTCTAAATGGATACCGGAAATTGGCAGAGTTTATGTTGTCTGATTTTAACGTGCCTTTCAGCTGTCCCCATTTGGTGAGGGCAGGCCCATTATTATTATTATTATTATTATTATTATTATTATTATTATTATTATTATTATTATTATTTGAAACACAACAACAAAGAGTACACCACAAACAAGATCACTCTGCTGGCTGTTGCATTGGATCACACGTTGGACACTTCCCAAGTGTTTAGGACTATATGATGTACTAGCTGTACCCGCCACACGTTCCTGTGGCCAACCTTCCCTCTTTCTCTCCTTCTTTCCTTTCTTCCTTCTCTACCTCTTTTTTCCTTCCTTCCTTTGTTCTTTGGTTACATCCTTCTTTCCTTCCTTCCTTCCTTCCCTCTTTCTCTCCTTTTTTTCCTTCTCTCCTTCCTTCCCTCTCTCTTTCCTTCCTTCCTCTCTTTTTTTCCTTCTCTCCTTTCTTCCTGCTCTACCTCTTTTTTCTTCCTTCCTTTGTTCTTTGGTTCCATCCTTCCTTCTCTCTTTCCTTCCTTCCTTCCCTCTTTCCTTTTTTCCTTCTCTCCTTCCTCCTCTCTCTCTTTCCTTCCTTCCTTCCTTCCTCTCTTTTTTTCCTTCTCTCCTTTCTTCCTTTCTCTACTCTTTTTTCTTCCTTTTCTCTTTGGTTCCATCCTTCCTTCCTCCCTTCCTTTTCCTTCCCTCTTTCCTTTTTTCCTTCTTCTCCTTCCTCCTCTCTTTTCCTTCTTCTTCTTCCTCTTTCTTCCTTTTTTCCTTCTCTCCTTTCTTCCTTCTTTACCTCTTTTTCCTTCCTTCCTTTGTTTTGTTCCATCCTTCCTTCTCTCTTTCCTTCCTTCCCTCTTTCTCCTTTTTTCCTTCTCTCCTTCCTTCCTTCCTCTCTCCTTCCTCTTTTTCTTTTTTTCCTTCTCTCTTCTTCCCTTCTCTTTCCTTCCTTCCTTCCTTTTTTCCTTCTCTCCTTTCTCTTCCTCTTTTTCCTTCCTTGTCTTTGGTTCCATCCTTCCTCCTTCCTTCCTTCCTTCTCCTTCTCTTTCTCTCACCTTTTTTTCCTTTTCTCCTTTCTTCCCTCTCTCTTTCCTTCCTTCCTTCCTTTCTCCACTTTTTTCCTTCTCTTCCTTCTTCCCTCTCTCCTTTCTTCCTTCCTTCCCTCTTTCTCTCCTTTTTCCTTCTCTCCTTCCTTCCCTCTCTCTTTCCTTCCTTCCTTCCTCTCTTTTTTTCCTTCTCTCCTTTCTTCCTTCTCTATAAGTCCTTCTAGACTTGATGTAAAACTAGATCAAAATGGGCTGGAGTATGTCCCACGAAAACAAATATTTTTGCAGTTTCCCCAATGTTTTTTATGATAGAACCAATTAGGAAATGACATCAATAACCCAGGAACAATAATCATGTTACATAGTGTTACCATTTGATATTATTTTGATTTTCTTTTTTTACTATTATTATTATTATTATTATTATTATTATTATTGCTATCATTACTATATATTTATTATTAGACATTATTCTTATATATTTATTATTATTTGTATATTTATTATTAAGAGGCCATGGTAGCACAGCAGGTTAATCCGCCAAGCTGCAGAACTTGCTGACTGGACGGTCAGTGGGTCAAAGCTACAGGATGGGGTGAGCTCCTGCTGTTAGTCCCAGCTTCTGCCAACCTAGCAGTTCAAAAACATGCAAACTTGTGAAACTACAAATTCCATTGAAGTGCAGAATTTGAGCAATTCCAACTCGCCTTTTTAGTTGCATTTTTTCTTGACTTGTATTGGACTAGAGTTTACTGTCGCTTCCAATCTGGTTTAGCAAGCCAGGATAATAAAACCAATAATTCCACAATTTCTTAACCCACATATCCTTGCTTTTGGCAATTTCTCTTACTTACTGGCATTTCGTGGACGGTGGGAGGCTTCCCGCCGTAGTCCATGTTGGTGGTTTGGAATAAAGGATTTTGCTCTTTCATCCTAGGAGGGAAAAATCCAAATTTGCTTAAGGAGAAGGCACCTTGCAAAAGAGACATACTCACAATGGTCTCCAGGCATCTACACCAGGCAAGGGGAAAATTGGGTCCTCAAGGTGTTTTCGACTTCAACTCCCACCATTCCTAACAGGAATGGTGGGAGTTGAAGTCGAAAACACCTTGAGGACCCAAGTTGAACTCCAAAACACATGGTTTGCCCACGCCTGATCTACACTATAGGGTTTATTTTTATTTATTTATTTATTTACTTATTTATTTATTTCTATCCCACTTTTCCCCAGAACAGGGCTCAAAGTGGCATACAGCATATAAAAGCAGAAAGCACACACACAACAGAAAAACACAATCACAAACCACAATATGCATAAAATTAGCAACTTACAATATTATAAAAAACTCCGACACCCTAAGATGGGACATAAATTAGACACTGAGGCCGAAAGCCTCATGCAAATAGTCACTAAAATACAAAAATAATCATTGAAATCTTTGCAGAAATATTCGTAAAAATACTCACAAAAATAATTGCAGGACTAATAAAAAAATCCTTGAAATGTTTTAAGAACTATATGTGTGTGTGTGTGCATGTGTATGTGTATATATATATATATATATATATATATTCAAAAAAATTGGTAGAAATTTTTACAAAAATATAAATAAAATGTTTCTAAAAAATTCATAAAATAATTACAAAAATATTTTCAGAAATAAAAATATTCATCAAAATATTTGCAGAAATATTCACAAAAATATTTGCAGAAATGTTCACAAAAATATTTACAGAAATATTCACAAGAATATTTGCATAAATATTCACAAAAGTATTTGCAGAAATAATTCACAAGAATATTTGCAGAAATATTCACAGAAATATTTGTAGAAAAAATATTTGTAGAAATATTTACAAAACAATTTGCAGAAATATTCACAAAAGTATTTGCAGAAATATTCATAAAATATTTCCAGAAATGTTCAGAATAATATTTGCAGAAATATTCACAAAAATATTTGTAGAAATAATATTTGCCGAAATATTCACATAATATTTGCAGAAATGTTCGGAATAATATTTGCAGAAATATTAAAAAAATATTTGCAGAAATATTCAAAAAACATTGAAATATTTACAGAAATATAAAATATATTCACAAAAACATTCTTTGAAATATTCACAAGAATATTTGCATAAATATTCACAGGAATATTTGCATAAATATTCACAAAATATTTGCAGAAATAGTCACAAAAATATTTGTAGAAAAAATATTTGCAGAAATATTCACAAGAATATTTGCAGAAATACTCACAAAATATTTACACAAATACAAAGTATTTGCAGAAATATTCACAAAATATTTGCAGAAATATTCACAAAATATTTGCAGAAATGTTCAGAATAATATTTGCAGAAATATTTACAAAAAAATATTTGCAGAAATAGTCACAAAACATTGACTATTGAAACATTGAAATATTTGCGGAAATATAAAATATATTCACAAAATATTTGCAGAAATATTCACAAAATATTTGCAGAAATATTCACAAAATATTAACAGAAATGTTCAGAATAATGTTTGCAGAAATATTCACAAAAACATTTGCAGAAATAGTCACAAAACATGGAAATATTTGCAGAAATATTCATAAAATATATTCACAAAAACATTCTCTGAAATATTCACAAAATGTTTGCAGAAATGTTCAGAATAATATTTGCAGAAATAACTACAAGAATATTTGCAGAAATATTCACAGAAATATTTGTAGAAATATTCACAAAACCATTTGCAGAAATATTCACAAACTATTTGCAGAAATGTTTGTAGAAAAAATATTTGCAGAAATGTTCAGAATAATATTTGCAGAAATATTCACAAAATATTTGCAGAAATATTCACAAAACATTGAAATATTTGCAGAAATATAAAATATATTCACAAAATATTCTCTGAAATATTCACAAAATATTCCTAAAAATACTTAATGCCATGTGAAGCCACTTTTGAACCTCCGCAGCTCACCTGTAACCCCGAAACCATCCCGGCCGGTCGAAGCGGGTCGGTAAATTCGGATGGATGCGGTAATAGTCGCTGGTCCTCTCCTCTTTGCCTTCCTCTTTCGTTGTCGGCGGTTCCAATTGGGGAACGGGCTCTTTTTGGGCCATTTTGGAGAGATTCCCACTTCTGTCCCAAAGGATGAACTGGCCAGGGATCAAAGTCTCAGCCAGGAGGGTTCTGATTGGCTGTTGGGTGGAAACAAAGCATCCCGTTGCTAGGAGACCGGGGACCACAACAAGAGATGCTCTTAAAGGCACAGGCCTCTTGAAAGAGAATGGGTGCAAACTTGAAAGAGTTTTGCTTGGAGGAGTCAGCAGAGGGAGCTGCAAATTGCAAAGCTGCTTCCATCTTCCTTTTCTCTCTTTTCTTTCCTTCCTTCCTTCCTTCCTGCAAAGCAGGCATGGCGGCTCCAGGGCTTTGGAGGGCAGGTGAGCACCAATTATTATATTTATGTTGATTATAGCCTACTTCTTGCAATTGAAGGCTTAGCTTGGGAAGCTGGGAACTCTTGTCTGCCTTGCAGTCTCAAAGTCTGGCTGCTTCCTGCCTGTTAGCCGGACCAGATTGTTTCCTGTCTGGAATTTCCTTGTTTTTTTAGTAATTCTTTCGTAATTCTTTAGTAATTAGTAATACTCTCCTGATTTTAGATTTTTTTAATAATACCGTTAGACATTTTCATGTTTTCCTCCCCTCTGTTGAAATTGCCCACATGCTTGAGCCGGCGTTGTCCGTAGACGCTTCCAAGGTCATGTGGCCACTGGCACGACTGCATGGAGCACCGTTACCTTCCCCCAGAAGCAGTACCTATTGATCTACTCACATTTGCATGTTTTCAAACTGCTAGGTTGGTAGAAGCTGGGGCTAACAGCAGGAGCTCACCTCGCTCCACAGATTTGAACTACCAACCTCTCCATCAACAAGTTCAGCAGCTCAGCGGTTTAACCCACTGCACCATCAAGGGGACTTAGAGAGATAGATAGATAGATAGAATCCTATAGTTGGCAGGGATAGATGAGTAGATAGATAGATAGATACAATTTGGTGATGGATCTGGGCGTTATATGTTTTTACCCTGTTTCCCCTTCCACTCTCTCACCCATATTGTGCTTTAGTAGTTATATTTATATTTTTAATGTACCAAACATACCAAGTTTGTATGAAAATGTGACTATTTCCTGTGCTGGTCAATGACCGAAATAAATGATTTGTTTGTTTGATTGATTGATTGATAGAATCCTAGTTGGAAAGCATGAGATAGAGAGAGAGAGAGAGAGTTGGAAGGAATAGGTGGGTGGATAGAGAGATTCCTAGCTTGAAGAGATAGATGGATGAATGGATAGATAGATATTGATAGAATCCTAGAGTTGGAAGGGATAGATAGATAGATTCCTAGTAGGAATAGAGAGAGAGAATTGGAAGAGATAGATGAGATAGATAGATAGATAGATAGATAGATAGATAGATAGATAGATAGATAGATGAGTTGGAAGGGATAGACAGACAGATAGAGTTGGAAGGGATGGATGGATGGACTGACAGACAGATAGATATAGATTGATAGAATCCTAGAGTTGGAAGGAATAGATAGATAGATAGATAGATAGATAGATAGATAGATAGATAGATAGATAGATAGATTCATAGATTCCTAGTTGGAAGGGATGGATGGATGGATATTGATAGAATCCTAGAGTTGGAAGGGATAGATAGATAGATAGATAGATAGATAGATAGATAGATAGATAGATAGATAGAGTCCTAATCGGAAGGGATGGATGGATGCTACAATGATTTCAAGATGTGGATTATGGGATCTGTGGTTGCAGAAGCCATTTATGAGATAGCTGTATTTCCCCCTTTTGTTCCAGTTGTCCCCAATCTTGGCCGCTTCAGCTCTTTGGCGCGGATGTCTTCCTCTTTTCCTCTTCCTGCTTCCACCGTGATTGCGCAGAAAGTGCCTCCCAATGGTAAGTCTTCCTGTTGACCATCGGGTTGTCCCTTCGAGTGACCTTCTCCCAGGCAGCGGTTTCCTTATGTGGGGTTTCGTGGGTGTCCCCAACTAATGTGGAGGGATGGGGTGAAGTTAAGGTGGAATCGTAGCACTTGTTCTTCTCCTTTTCCCGCTTTCAGATATGAGTGAAATGTTGCTGACGGAGCCCTTGAAGCACCCCGACTACTTCAACGTCCAAGAGCTCTTCTCCCTTAAGGACCTTTTCGACGCCCGGGTCCACCTGGGCCACAAGAAGGGATGCCGCCACAGGTGGGTCCCATCCCATAATGCTGGGAGAACTCCTCTCTAGGAATTTCTAGCTCTGAGATGCATCTACACTGGAGAATGAATGCAGATTGATTGACACCACTTGAATTGCCGTGGCTCAACGCTGTGGGAATCCTGGGAGTTATAGTTTTGCAAGATCCCATAGCACTGAGCTGCAAATTATTATTATTATTATTATTATTATTATTATTGCAAAGGCTGGATGGCTATCTATAGGGGGTGCTTTGTGTTAAAAAGTTTGCCCATGCCTAATATATATATATACAGCATTTTTGGGAAATGCCATCCTAAGGAATGAAGCCCAAAAACTACAAGAAAGAGGTGAAAAATTCATGGACTATAATTAAAAGTTGCTGATGAGAACTGTGACAATGATTAATTGTTGAACCTTGGCAGAAAAACGTGTTTACATTATCATAGACAATTGCTCTGTAAGTTAAAGAAATGTTTACAAGGTTCCTTGCATTAAGAAGGAAGTCAACACAAGGCTCCTTACGTTTACCAACACCAATTAAGGAGAGTCAGCATCTGCCCGGAACTGGGAAGCTAGGATGTTTCAGGCTGGAAAAACATCTACCATTCATTTACAACTTTGGGGGCGGGGGGGGGGGGGACCAGAGTGTTTACATTATCATAAACAATGGCTCTGTGAGTTAAGGAAATATTTACAAGGTTCCTTACGTTAAGAAGGAAGTCAACACAAGGCTCCTTATGTTTACCAACATAAGGAGAGTCAACATCTGCCAGGACTTGGGGAGCCAGGATATTTCAGGCTGGAAAAACATCTATCATTCATTTACAACTTTGGAACAACATTAGCAAGAAATATTGCTATGTAAGAGACCTTCTAATATTCCAAAATTGTGGCAGACCAGAGGAGTCTTGCCCAGCCGCCTCTCTACTCCATAGGAAGGAGGGAGATGGTGTACCTTTGGGGCAGCTCTGCAATGGAATACACTCCGGTCACTTGCTCCTTTTCTCAAGGGAAGAGAAAGGAGTACAACTTTGGAGTCATGATACGTTTGCAAGGAGTCAGATTGGAGATCTGATTGTTGGCTTTAGATAGATCCCTGGTTGGAAGGGATGGATGAGTGGATGGATGGACTCCTATAGTTGGAAGGGATAGATAGATAGATAGATAGATAGATAGATAGATAGATAGATAGATAGATCCTATGTTTACCAACACCAATTATGAGAGTCAGCATCTGCCAGGATCTAGATCACTGGTTCTCAACCTGGGGTTCCCAGATGTTTTTGCCCTTCAACTCCCAGAAATCCTAACAGCTGGTCAACTGGCTGGGATTGCTGGGAGTTGTAGGCCAAAACACCTGGGGACCCACAGGTTGAGAACTATTGATCTAGATACATAGAATCCTAAAGTTGGAAGGGATGGGTGGATAGATAGAATCTTAGACTCGGAAGGGATGGATGGATAGATAGAACCGTCATTGGGAGGGATGGATGGGTCAATGGAAATCTACTATTTTAGCAGGAAACTACTATTTCTTCCAACTAGGTTTCTATCTATTAAAACTACAGTAATAAGAACCTAGAATCATAGAATCACAGAATCAAAGAGTTGGAAGAGACCTCCTGGGCCATCCAGTCCAACCCCCTGCCAAGAAGCAGGAATATTGCATTCAAATCACCCCTGACAGATGGCCATCCAGCCCCTGTTTAAAAGCTTCCAAAGAAGGAGCCTCCACCACACTCCGGGGCAGAGAGTTCCACTGCTGAACGGCTCTCACAGTCTATGCTTTGAAGTTATTGAAAAGTTATCCATCACAGAGACTCAGGATTCTCCGGTTTGTCCCCTGCAGGTTTATGGTGCCTTACATCTTTGGCTGCCGTTTGGACCAGGACATCATCGACCTGGACCAGACGGTGGCACACCTCCAGGCCGCCCTCAACTTTGTGGCGCACCTGGCCTTCCGCAAGGGCATCCTCCTCTTCGTCACCCGCAACCGCCAGTTCTCCCACCGGGTGGAGACCGCGGCCAAAGAGTGCGGGGAGTACGCCCACGCCCGCTACTGGCAAGGAGGGCTGCTGACCAACGCCCCCATCCAATACGGGGCCGGGGTCCGCCTCCCGGACGCCGTCCTCTTCTTCGGCACGCTCAACAACGCTTTCGAGGCCCACTTGGCCGTCCGTGACGCCGCCAAAATGGGCATCCCCACCGTCGGCGTGGTCGACACCAATTGCAACCCGGACTTGGTTTCGTACCCGATCCCCGGCAACGACGACAGCCCCTCCGCCGTCGAGCTGTACCTGCGGCTCTTCAAGGTGGCCATCCTGCGAGCCAAGGCCAAGCGCCGGCAGATGGAGGTCCTCTACGAGGCGCGGAGCCAGCAGGAGTGACCGTGCGGCCTGCCTTGCAGGGTTGGCGTTGCGAGAGATTACGCAGGACTTTGTGTGCGGACTTGAACCGAGTTGGGAGTTCCAAACACCTACCAAATCTATCTCAGTGTTTCCCAAACTCAGGCCATTGGAGTGTTTTGGACTTCAGCTCCCATCAGCAAGAAAGAAAGCATGACTTTCTGTAGACTGCATTTGAGTTGGGGATTCTGGGAGTCACAGTCCAAAACGCTCGGCTTTTCGTAACTCTGATCTTCTGGGTGTTTTGGAAAGAAAGAAAAATCAGTATTTCCCAAACTACGGTATTTTGAATATTTTTGATTTCAGATTCCATTGGCAAGAAAGAAAACATGACTGTATTGACTTGAGTCAGGGATGATGGGAGTTGCAGTCCAAAACTTTGTTTTTCCCAACTAGTTTTTTTAAATATTTTTTTTATTTCCGATCCCATTGGCAAGAAAGAAAACATGGCTTTATAGACTCTGGTCAGGGATGATGGGCATTGCAGTCCAAAACTATATCTCAGTGTTTCCCAAACTCAGGCCATTGGAATGTTTTGGACTTCAGCTCCCATCAGCAAGAAAGAAAGCATGACTTTCTGTAGACTACCATTGAGTTGGGGATTCTGGGAGTCTCTGGGGTATTTTGGACTTCAGCTCCCATCAGCAAGAAAGATAGCAGGACTTTATAGACCTGGGTTAGGGATTATGAGAGTTGCAGTCCCAAACTCTCCTAATCCCTCTCAAAAACTACAGTCTTTTGTGTGTTTTGGACTCCAGGTCCCATTGGCCCCAGATAAACGTAACTTTTCATAGACTTGAACTAAGTGGGGATCATGGGAGCTGCAGTCCAAAACTCCCAATTATTGCTAGCTCTGATCTTGAGTGTTTTGGACTCCAGCTCCCATTGGCCCCAAATAAACATGGCTTTTCATAGACTTGGACTGAGTGAGGGGATTATGGGAGCTGCAGTCAAAAACTCCCAATTATTTCTAGCTCTGATCTTGAGTGTTTTGGACTCCAGGTCCCATTGGCCCCAAATAAGCATGGCTTTTCATAGACTTGGTGATTATGGGAGCGGCAGTCCAAAACTCTCAATTATTGCTAGCTCTGATCTTGAGTGTTTCGGACTCCAGCTCCCATTGGCCCCAAATAAGCATTACTTTTCATAGACTTGAACTAAGTGGGGATTATGGGAGCTGCAGTCCAAAACTCCCAACTCTTGCTAGCTCTGATCTTGAGCTCCCATCGGCACTAAAAAGTCATGACTTTCTGTAGACTTCCAGGAATGATGGGAGTTGCAGTCCATCATGCCTAACTTCCTTTTCAGCACAAAATAAAAGAAGCCTGTTTATTTGGAGACTCGCTGTGTCGTTTCTGAAACTTGTTTGTGTTATATCTTTGGGGTTGGGGCTGGGTCAAGGATTCTGGGAGTTGTAGTTTTGCAAGGCTTTAAAGTTTGCTAGGACCTTGGCAAACTACAACTCCTAGCTCCCCATGGCTGGTAAAGTGAGGTCAAACCGCATTCATTCTACAGGCTTAGATGCACCTTGTAGCCTCATGCATTTCAACAAAGGTCAAGGATTCTGGGAGTTGTAGTTTTGCAAAGTTTATTAGGACCTTGGCAAACTACAACTCCCAGCACCCCATGGCTGGTAAAGTGAGGTCAAACTGCATTCATTGTACAGGCTTAGATGCACCTTGTAGCCTCGTGCATTTCCACAAAGGTCAAGGATTCTGGGAGTTGTAGTTTTGCAAGGCCATAAAGTTTGCTAGCACCTTGGCAAACTACAACTCCCAGCATCCCATGGCTGGTAAAGTGAGGTCAAACTGCATTCATTCTACAGGCTTGGATGCACCTTGTAGCCTCGTGCATTTCCACAAAGGTCAAGGATTCTGAGAGTTGTAGTTTTGCAAGGCCATAAAGTTTGCTAGAAACTTGGCAAACTACAACTCCCAGCATCCCATGACTGGTAAAGTGAGGTCAAACTGCATTCATTCTACAGGCTTAGATGCACCTTGGAGCCTCATGCATTTCAACAAAGGTCAAGGATTCTGGGAGTTGTAGTTTTGCAAAGTTTATTAGGACCTTGGCAAACTACAACTCCCAGCATCCCATGGCTGGTAAAGTGAGGCCAAACTGCATTCATTGTACAGGCTTAGATGCACCTTGTAGCCTCACAAACATTTCAACAAAGGTCAAGGATTCTGGGAGTTGTAGTTTTGCAAAGTTTATTAGGACCTTGGCAAACTACAACTCCCAGCATCCCATGGCTGGTAAAGTGAGGTCAAACTGCATTCATTGTACAGGCTTAGATGCACCTTGTAGCCTCGTGCATTTCCACAAAGGTCAAGGATTCTGGGAGTTGTAGTTTTGCAAGGCCATAAAGTTTGCTAGCACCTTGGCAAACTACAACTCCCAGCATCCCATGGCTGGTAAAGTGAGGTCAAACTGCATTCATTCTACAGGCTTGGATGCACCTTGTAGCCTCGTGCATTTCCACAAAGGTCAAGGATTCTGAGAGTTGTAGTTTTGCAAGGCCATAAAGTTTGCTAGAAACTTGGCAAACTACAACTCCCAGCATCCCATGACTGGTAAAGTGAGGTCAAACTGCATTCATTGTACAGGCTTAGATGCACCTTGGAGCCTCATGCATTTCAACAACGGTCAAGGATTCTGGGAGTTGTAGTTTTGCAAAGTTTATTAGGACCTTGGCAAACTACAACTCCCAGCATCCCATGGCTGGTAAAGTGAGGCCAAACTGCATTCATTGTACAGGCTTAGATGCACCTTGTAGCCTCACAAACATTTCAACAAAGGTCAAGGATTCTGGGAGTTGTAGTTTTGCAAAGTTTGCTAGCACCTTGGCAAACTACAACTCCCAGCATCCCATGGCTGGTAAAGTGAGGTCAAACTGCATTCATTCTACAGGCTTAGATGCACCTTGTAGCCTCGTGCATTTCCACAAAGGTCAAGGATTCTGGGAGTTGTAGTTTTGCAAGGCCATAAAGTTTGCTAGCACCTTGGCAAACTACAACTCCCAGCATCCCATGGCTGGTAAAGTGAGGTCAAACTGCATTCATTCTACAGGCTTGGATGCACCTTGTAGCCTCGTGCATTTCCACAAAGGTCAAGGATTCTGAGAGTTGTAGTTTTGCAAAGTTTGCTAGGCCCTTGGCAAACTACAACTCCCAGCATCCCATGGCTGGTAAAGTGAGGTCAAACTGCATTCATTCTACAGGCTTAGATGCACCTTGTAGCCTCATGCATTTCAACAAAGGTCAAGGATTCTGGGAGTTGTAGTTTTGCAAAGTTTATTAGGACCTTGGCAAACTAAAACTCCCAGCATCCCATGGCTGGTAAAGTGAGGTCAAACTGCATTCATTGTACAGGCTTGGATGCACCTTGTAGTCTCATGCATTTCCACAAAGGTCAGGGATTCTGGGAGTTGTAGTTTTGCAAGGCCATAAAGTTTGCTAGCACCTTGGCAAACTACAACTCCCAGCATCCCATGGCTGGTAAAGTGAGGTCAAACTGCATTCATTCTACAGGCTTATAGTAGTCCCATACATTTCAACAGTTAATTCCATATGAAAATATTTCTCTCTTTGTGAGTCAATGGAGTTCTCTCCACTTCCTCCAAAATAGCTTTCCCACAGGCTAAACCCGGAAGTCCCCTGCAGAAAGTCAGGCTGTATCTCTCTATAGTTTTTCTGCTCTATGTTGCTTTCCGAGCGTGAGTTGTTCCGGCTGCCATTTTTGGGTCTCGTAGTCTGCGCATGCGTGTTTAAGTCAGGCAGTATCGCTCTACCTTTTCTGCTCTGTGTTGCTTTCCGAGCGTGAGAGGTTCCGGCGGCCATTTTGGTCCCGTAGTCTGCGCATGCGTGTTTAAGTCAGGCAGTGTCTGTCTGGTCCCGTAGTCTGCGCATGCGTGTTTAGTCACCGAGGCTATATAAGGCCGCGATTGAGGCCTACTCGGTCTTTCGGCGCCAGGCGGAGGTGAGGGATGCATGTCTCTGCGCTATGTTTCTTTCCAGACTCTTCCTCCTCAAGGTTTGGCAGGAATAAAGAAATATAGTAGTAGTAAAATAGGAGGATAATATTAATTTAAAATAATATTTAAAATATAAAGTAAAAAATAATATAAATAAAATATTAAATAAAAATTAATAAAATAATATAAATAAAATACAAATAAAAATATAAATGTGATAAATATACAAATATAAAATAATAAAAAATGTAAAAAATAGTATAAATAAAATACAAATAAATATATAAATGTGATAAATATATAAATATTAAATAATAAAAAAATGTAAAAAATAGTATAAATAAAATACAAATAAAAATAGAAATGTGATAAATATATAAATATTTAAAAATGTAAAAAATAATATAAATAAAATACAAATGTAATAAATATATAAATATAAAATGATAAAAAATGTAAAAAATAATATAAATAAAATACAAATAAAAATATAAATGTGATAAATATATAAATATGAAATAATAAAAATGGAAAAATAATATAAATAAAATAAACATATGAATGTAATAAATATAAAATAATAAAATAATGTGTATTTGAAATGCAATAAAATACAAATAAAATAATACAAATAAAAATAGAAGTGTAATATATAAATATAAAATAATAATAAAATGTGTATCTAATAAAAACAAATGCAATAAAATAATATAAATAAACATGAATGTAATAAATACAAAATAATAAAATAATGTGTATTTGAAATAATAAATGCAATAAAATGTAAATAAAATAATACAAATAGAAATGTAATATATAAGTAGAAAATAATGTGCATCTGATAAAATAATAAAAGTAATAAAATAATATAAATATATTCATTAAAAATACATAAATATAAAATAATAAAATGTGCATCTGATAAAACAATAAATGTAATATATAAAATGTGCATCTAAAATCATATATAACGTAATAAAATAAAAGGAGTAAAGTAATACAAAGAAATTATAAATGTGATAAAGTAATATAAATAAAATAATCTAATAAAATGTAATAAATATAAAATGATAAAATCTGCCTCTGATAAAATAATAAATGTAATAAAATAATATAAATATATGCATCCATAATAATATATGAAGTAATAAAATAAAAGAAGTAATACAAAGAAAATATAAATGAAATGAAGTAATATAAAGTAATGTGCATCTAATAGAATCATAAATGCAATAAAATAATACAAATAAAAATATAAATGTAATATATAAATATAAAATAATATAAATATATGCATCTAAAATCATATATAAAGTAATAAAATAAAAGGAGTAAAGTATTACAAAGAAAATATAAATGTAATAAAGTAATATAAATAAAATAATGTGCATCTAATAGAATCATAAATGCAATAAAATAATATAAGGAAAATAAAGGCAATAAAATGTTATAAACAAATTAATATAAACATAATAAAATAATATAAATAAATATGTTAATATAATAATATAAAAATAATATTACTTTAACAAAATAGTATCAACATGCATCTCCTAAAATAATATAAATAATGTGCATTTAATAAAGTATAAATGTAATAAAGTACTGATTAAAATAAATTATATGCAATGAAATATTAATATGTGCCTCTTATAAAATAATAGAAACAAAAATAAATTATAAAATAATATAAATGCAATGAAATAATATTAATATGTGCCTCTAATAAAATAATGAAATGTAATATAATATAAAATGTGCATCTAATAAAATAATATGAGCATAATAAAATCAAGTGTGCATCTAATAAAATAAAAATATATCCAAGTACTGATACAAATAATAGACATATAATAATTGCATTAAGTTGTCCAAAGCAACCTTGAAGGAGATTTATTTGTAGCCGTTTGCGTTTAAGACGATTCAGCCAACGTTGAAGCGAAACTGTTTTGTTGTTAACATTGATTCAGAAGGGCTTTGATTTCCATTGAGGCTGAGAGAACGTGACTTGACTTAAGATCACCCAGTGAGTTTGTATGGCCAAACAGAATCGAACACTGGTCTTTGGAGTCCAGATCCAGGGCTTAATAGAAGTTGTTGTGTGCCTTCGAGTCCTTATGGTGACCCTCTTGCTGGGTTTTTCTTACCAAGATTGCTTTAGAGACTGCCTTTGTATTTTCAAATATATTTCCATACTGTCCTTTGTTCTGTTGCAGGAATGGACCAGGATATGTCTCCACCTTCCAGACCAAGATGGCTCCCCCCTTGACCCTTGGTGAGTCTCTTCCTGGGCTTTACTTCCTTGCTTTTGGCCCCTAAAGGCGTTGCAGACATGGCCGCCAGTCTATGTTTGTGTCAGTAGGAGGCAGAGAGGAAACAGGCTGCGTCTACGTTCCGTGTTCTGTGGCCGTGAACCCTTGGAATGATTAGCAGCTTGACATCCGTGGGTTTGACACCATTGGAACTGCTATGGCTTAATGCTGTGGGGTTGTGGGATCTGTGGTTTTCCAAGGTCTCACCAAACTACAACTCCTAGGGCTATTTATTTATTTATATTTTACCTTGTCCCTGTGGCCCGCCCATTGTGTTCGATTTTATATTATGCTATTTTGCTTTGTTTACTCTATTTTGCTATTGTATATATTTTGTTGTGATGTAATTTTTTCTTGTTTTTTGTTTGCATTTTGTATTTTATTTTGCTGTATTGTATTTTCAGGCTTGGCCTCATGTTAGCAAAGATTATTATTATTTATTTGTTTTACTTTTACCCCGCCCTTCTCACCCCGAGGGGGACTCAGGGCGGCTTACACATCCAAGGCACAATTCGATGCCCATAACATACAACAGTAATAAAACAAAATAGCATAAATTAGCAATCAACAATAGTACATTACATCTATAACCGATAAAACCAATAAAAATTTCATACAAACCAATTACTCCTTATTGCCGGTCCATGTTCGCTATCTCATAGTTCAAAGTTTCCATTCTGCATTTATCAGTCCTGTCGGTCCTATTTGTCTGGTTGTCCTTACCTAGTTAGCAGATTGCCCGAAGGCCTGGTCCCACAACCACGTCTTTACCTTCCTCCTGAAGGACAGGAGGGATGTTGATGACCTAATTTCCCCCGGGAGTGAGTTCCACAGGTGAGGGGCCACCACTGAGAAAGGCCCTGCTCCTCGTCCCCACCAGCCTCACTTGTGACAGTGGTGGGGTCGAGAGCAGGGCCTCCTCAGATGATCTCAGACTCCGGGGTGGGACGTAGAGGGAGATACGTTCGGACAGATACACTGGACCGGAACCGTACAGGGTTTTGTAGGTCAAAACCAGCACCTTGAATTGTGCTCGGAACTGAACCGGCAGCCAGTGGAGCTGACACAGCAGGGGGGTGGTGTGCTCCCTGTATGACGCTCCGGTGAGTAGTCTGGCTGCCGCTCGCTGGACCAGTTGAAGTTTCCGAACAGTCTTCAAGGGCAACCCCACGTAGAGTGCGTTGCAGTAGTCTATTCGGGATGTAACAAGAGCGTGGACCACTGTGGCCAGATCTGACGGGGTACAAATAAAGTTGTTGTTATTATTATTATTAGTATTATTATTATTAGCAGCTCACCATCTGTGTTTTGTCTGTTTGTTTTTGTTAAAAATGTAATACAAATGTCTGGTTGTTGATGATACGATAAATAAATAAACCATCAAAAACATTACAATTTGATCTTTTGGGGTCTAAAATGCTGCATTGCCTTTGGTTTGCAGGTAGAAGAGGCTGTCCTACGCTAGAGGAAAAGATGTAGCATGTTGAATATGCTTGGAAGCCCAGAAGCTATTGCAATCTACAGACAGGAGGTGAGCCAAAACGTGCCATTTCCAACAGCATATACAGTGGACCCTGCTATATTTGCTCCAGATATGGGGGGAAAAAATCTAGTATTATTAAATTGTTTAATATATGGACCGAAGTATGATTCCTTTAGGAGTAGGGAATGATTTGGGTCCTGATTCTTGCCCCCAGAGGCGTTGCAAGCATGGCTGTTGTGCCGTGTTTGCGTCATTGGGTGGCAAAGAGTAAGAAAGGCTATGTCTACGCTCAGTGCTCTGAAATGGAAAACCGTGGGCACTCAGAATGATTTGTAGCCTGACAAAACAAACACACTGCTTACAGCCAAGATCTTATCTAGATTTTTCTCAAAGACCCCTTAGTTAGGTGGCAGATAGGGAGACAGCTGCAATAATAACAGTTACATTGAGTGAGATATCCAGATCACTCTTGTCCAGTTTCAACTGTTCAATAGGAGGGTGCCTTTCTGGTTCCACCTCATGCCTCGAAAGCTTCCCTGGTCCCACTGGGACTGGGTTTCGTCAAAAATATTAAAAATTAACTAGGTGTTTTTAATTACAAAAATGTGAGTCAAGCACTAAAAGAGTTAAATGGATGCAATGATCCAACAAAAGCTGTTCAGTATAAGGAAGTGTACCTGTAGCTTAGTAGCCTCAGCCTGAAGGAGGCCTCAGGGGGAGAGGGGCCTCAGTGTTGGTTCGTTTCAGTGTGTGAGGTCTCAGTGGGAGAAAGGCCTCAGTGTATTAGTAGATCTCAGTCTGAGGTAGCCCTCAGTGGAGGAAATACCTGTGTTAGTTCGCCTCAGTGTGAGGTAGGACTCGTTGTGTGAGAGAAGCCACAGTGGGAGAAAGGCTTTGGTGTGTAGGTAGGCCTCAGTGTGTGAGAGAGGTCTCAGTGGGAGAAAGGCCTCAGTGTATTAGTAGATCTCAGTGTGAGGTAGGACTCGTGTGAGAGAAGTCACAGTGGGAGAAAGGCTTTGGTGTGTAGGTAGGCCTCAGTGTGTGAGAGGTCTCATTGGGAGAAAGGCTTCGGTGTGTTAGTAGGCCTCAGTCTGAAGTAGCCCTCAGTGGGAGAAATACCTCGGTGTTAGTTCGCCTCAGTATGAGGTAGGCCTGTGTGTGAGAGAGGTCTCAGTGGGGGGAAAGCCTCAGTGTGTTAATAGGCCTCTGTCTGAGGTAGCCCTCAGTGGGAGAAAGGCCTCAGTATGAGATAGGCCTCAGTGTGTGAGAGAGGTCTCGTTGGAAAAAAAAAAAGCTTTGGTATGTTAGTAGGCCTCAGTCTGAAGTAGCCCTCAGTGGGAGAAATACCTCAGTGTTAGTTCGCCTCAGTATGAGGTAAGCCTGTGTGTGAGAGAGGTCTCAGTGGGGGAAAAGCTTCAGTGTTCTAATAGGCCTCTGTCTGAAGTAGCCCTCAATGGGAGAAATACCTCAGTGTTAGTTCGCCTCAATATGAGGTAGGCCTGTGTGTGAGAGGTCTCAGTGGGAGAAAGGCCTCAGTGTATTAGTAGGTCTCAGTCTGAAGGACTCAGTGTGAGGTAGGCCCCAGTATGCAAGAGCGATCTCAGTGGGAGAAAGGTTTGGATTGTTAGTAGGCCTCAGTCTGAAGTAGCCCTCAGTGGGAGAAATACCTCAGTGTTAGTTCGCCTCAGTATGAGTTAGACCTGTGTGTGAGAGGTCTCAGTGGGAGAAAGGCCTCAGTGTATTAGTAGGTCTCGGTGTGAGGTAGGCCCCAGTATGTGAGAGAGGTCTCAGTAAGACAAAGGTTCAGATTGTTAGTAGGCCTCAGTCTGATGTAGCCATCAGTGGGAGAAAGGCCTCGGTGTTAGTTCACCTCAGTATGAGGTAGGCCTGTGTGTGAGAGGTCTCAGTGGGGGAAAGCCTCAGTGTGTTAGTAGGCCTCAGTCTGAGAAAGGCCTCAGTGTTCATTCCCCTCATTGTGTGAGAGGATTCAATGGGAGAAAGGCCTCAGTGGGAGAAAGGCCTCGTGTGTGATGTTCCAATGTGAAGGTTGAACTTTATTTGTGTTGTTTTTGTAAATAGTGCAACCATATTATTTTGCCCTAAAAAAAGCCCAACAGGTTGAATTCATTTATTTACATACTTTTGAAACATTTATAAGGATGTGACTGGATGCTTCGGCCCATAAGTTGCTTTAGACTCTGGGAGGGAAACTAGTAATTCCAGGGGCCATTTTGTTTTGTCCTTATGAACCTTAAAGAAAATGTAGAGAACTCCTTGTTTTGTTGTTGTTAATGTCTTGTATTTATTTATTCACAGGAGTTGGCTGCAGACTTTTTTTTTTTTTTTTAGCAATTGTTTAATGTGTCCCGTCGAAGGTAAGAATAGGAACGTAAGAATGCCGAAGCCTCGAAACTTAATCCCTTGACAAAGCTGACACTTCATTGGTGTTCGATCGATAGAGGAAACTTGAAACGCCGTCTTGGTTTCCCGTTTTTAAAAAAGTTAGCGTTGCCTTCCTGCTCGTCTTAACTTAGATTCCCTTGCCGGTGTCCTTGGCACGGCTTATCTGTGCCCTTTCCCAGGGAATTCTTTCCATCAGGAGATGCACCCATGTGCCTCGTGTTCATGCTTCAAACTAAATGGCCTTGGAACAGCTTTTGGGGGGGGGGGGGGGGGGTTAAATAATTTAAAAAGTCCCTGTGTCCTTCACAATTGCAAGGATATTTAGAAGGCTTTGTGTTGCGTACTGTCCTGAATATCATTCGCCCCAATGGAATGTATTATTATTATTATTATTATTATTTGAAACACAACAAGATGGGTCCACAGCAGGCACTCTGCTGGCTGTTGAATGGGATCACATGTTGGATTATTATTATTATTATTATTACAATTATGCTGGGGAAAGTGGAAGGCAAAAGGAAGAGGGGCCGACCAAGGGCAAGATGGATGGATAGCATCCTTGAAGTGACTGGACTGACCTTGAAGGAGCTGGGGGTGGTGACGGCCGACAGGGAGCTCTGGCGTGGGCTGGTCCATGAGGTCACGAAGAGTCGGAGACGACTGAACGAATATTATTATTATTATTATTATTATTATTATTACTAGAAACACAACAAGATGAGTCCACAGCAGACACTGCTGGCTGTTGAATTGGATCACACGTTGGATATTATTATTATTATTATTATTATTATTATTAGAAACACAACAAGATGAGTCCACAACAGACACTCTGCTGGCTGTTGAATTGGATCACACATCCTTATTATTATTATTATTATTATTATTATTATTATTATTATTATTAAAAACATAATAAGATGAGTCCACAGCAGACACTCTGCTGGCTGTTGTGTTAGATCACACATCGGACACTTTCCAAGTGTCTAGGACTATGTATCGGCGAATAATGCGTGCAGATCCCAGTAAGGTGGCCTTCTGCAGCTGGCAGATGGTAATTTTGTCAGCGCCGATTGTGTTTAAGTGCAGGCCAAGGTCTTTAGGTACTGCACCCAGTGTGCTGATCACCACTGGGACCACCTTGACTGGTTTGTGCCAGAGTCTTTGCACTTCGATCTTTATATCCTATTATTATTATTATTAGAAACGCAACAAGATGAGTCCACAGCAGACACTCTGCTGGCTGTTGAATTGGATCACACATTATTATTATTAGTAGTAGTAGTAGTAGTAGTATCCCACCACCATCTCCCCAAAGGGACTTGAGGCGGCTCACAGACGCACTCCAAATGCCACATGCAGACAATACATAAATATAAAAACAACGACCTAAGTATAATCAACAACAAATAAAAATATCATTGAAAAAATTATAAAAAAATTGAAAATTATGAAATTCCTAAAAATGCATGATTGGTGTATATATCAAGGCGGGAAAAGATTAGGGTAGATTTGCAAAAGTATGCATTTGGGGTGTTTTTCCTCCCATTAATCTGCCCTGTTGAGACGTAACTACGACTGAGGTGTCGTAGTTAGTGCCAGAAGGAGGCAGAGAGCAAATTCCACAGGCTGCTTTAGCAGATCTTCATCCTCAAGGCAAATGGATGAAAGATCGCGACAGCAGCTGAACAGTTTGTGGCCGTTCGGGAACCCAAATGGGACAGCAAAGAATTCTCTCCCCAACTATTTTCCAAATTGTCATAACATTATTAATTGAATCAGTTTTCGATACCTTTGTGTTGTTTTGCCTGTATACTCCTTTCTGCGCATACAAGTTGAGCTAAATAAACGTGTTTGAAAAAAATAAATACAAATGATGACTTTTGGAATAAACACGCACACATCTTTGTCAGTTCGAAGCCACAGGAGCCTTTTGAAAAATATGCGTTCCGGGCGCATGTCGAAATGCCATAATCGCCTCTGCGCATCAAAGAGTCCACGGAAACACTTGTGACCTATGTTTTGTGTGTTACTATCTCGGGTACCTGACGTTGCCCCGGTTTTGTGGAAAAGTCAGTTTTTGAATTGTACCAAATGCACCTAAGGTTGTATTTATTTATTTACGACATTTATATGCCGCCCTTCTCACCCCGTAGAGGACTCAGAGCGGCTTACAAGATATGTATACATATTTATTTACGACATTTATATGCCGCCCTTCTCACCCCGAATGGGACTCAGAGCGGCTTACAAGATATGTATACATATTTATTTATTTATTTACGACATTTATATGCCGCCCTTCTCACCCCGAATGGGACTCAGAGCGGCTTACAAGATATGTATACATATTTATTTATTTATTTACGACATTTATATGCCGCCCTTCTCACCCCGAATGGGACTCAGAGCGGCTTACAAGATATGTATACATATTTATTTATTTATTTACGACATTTATATGCCGCCCTTCTCACCCCGAATGGGACTCAGAGCGGCTTACAAGATATGTATACATATTTATTTATTTATTTACGACATTTATATGCCGCCCTTCTCACCCCGAATGGGACTCAGAGCGGCTTACAAGATATGTATACTTATTTATTTATTTATTTACGGCATTTATATACTGCCATTCTCATCCCAAAGGGGACTCAGAGCAGCTTACAAGTAATATGTAAATACAATATATTACATTAATACCATAGCACAATATTGCTTTATGTGTTTAAACATACAATATATTATGTTATTAACATAGTACAATATCAATATTAAATATTACTGCATTGTACTATACTGTTATTTTGTGATATTATTAGTAATATTACATGTAATATAAATATATAATTCTAATATATTAGTATTGCATTAAATTATAATGTTATAAATATACGTATATACAATATATCATATCTTATTATATTACAACTCGCATTAACTCCGAAAAACTCTCATCAGTCCTTATGTTGGGCAAGTTTACTCTAGATGCATCACCCATGGGGTTTAGTGTGCTCTCTTGACTGTAGGGTGAACTACAACTCCCACTGTGGGGTTTAGTGTGCATGGGGTTTAGTGTGCTCTCTTGACTGTAGGGTGAACTACAACTCCCACTGTGGTGAGTCAGTCCCTTCAAACCCCTCAAGTAGCTTGGGTTAGCCATGAGGGTTCTGTGTGCCAAGTTTCGTCCAGGTCCGTCGTCCATGGAGGTCACCATTTCTCTGGTTATGGGTGAACTACAACTCCCAGAAAGGATGGTCGGTTTCCCCCAAACCCTCAAGTACCATAATCAAAATTTGGGCATATCAGGTACCTGTTTACTATCAAGACATCCTGATGTTTGCAGTACAATCTGTTTTCCCCTTTTTGGAATTTGAATCTTTTAAATTCTGTGTATTTATATTTATTTATTTGCCCGAGATTTTTTGGAGGTCTTGAGTGTAAATCATACTTGCGGATTCAGCGTATCCGATCGTTTCCCATCCTGAGAAGCATCCAAGTTGACCTAGCAGCCCTCCGTTTGGATGCAAGCTGCCATGCGATCCGCATAAGCCCAAAGGGGATTACAACTATTTGTAAACATAACAAGCAAAAACAAAAAGATGATAATGGAACAGGAGGCCTCGTCCAATCTCCTTGAGTGCTTGCATTAGCATTGTTTAAGCTGGACGTTTAACCTCCCCATTTGTCAGCCTGTGTGCTTTCAAGATGATGGGGAAAATTCCCCAGAGTGTATGCTCATTTGATGCATTGCTGCAAAATATCCCCTTGAGGGAAATCTCTAGTTGGCCTAGATGCAGCAAAAAGACCTGGTTTTCTGTGTTGCTTTGGGTTTTCCTGGGCTGTCTGGCCATGTTCCAGAAGCACTCCCTCCTGACGTTTTGCCCACATCTATGGCAGGCATCCTCAGAGGTTGTGAGGTCTGTTGGAAACGAGGCAAGTGGGGTTGAAATATCTGTGGAAAGGTACTGCATAGACCAGCGTTTTTCAGCGTGGTGGTCGGGACCCCTGGGGGGTCACGAGGGGGTATCAAAGGGGTTGCCAAAGACCACCAGAAAACAGTATTTTCTATAGGTCAAGGGGTTCTGTGCGACCAACTTTGGTTCAGTTCCATCATTGGTGGGGTTCAGAATGCTCTTTGATTGTAGGTGAACTATAAATCCCAGCAACTACAACTCCCAAATGTCCAGGCCTATTTTCCCCAAACTCCACTCATGTTTACATTTGTGCATATTAAGTATTTGTGCCAAGTTTGGTCCAGATCCATCATTGTCTGAGTCTAAAATGCTCTCTGGATGTAGGAGAACTACAACTCCCAAACTCAAGGTCAGTGCCCAGCAAACCCTTCCAGTATTTTCCGTAGGTCGTGGGAGTTCTGTGTGTCAAGTTTGGTTCAGTTCCATCATTGGAAGTTCAGAATGGTCTTTGATTATAGGTAAACTATAAATCCCAGCAACTACAACTCCCAAATGTCCAGGCCTATTTTCCCCAGAATCCACTGGTGTTCACATTTGGGCATATTGAGTATTTGTGCCAAGTTTGGTCCAGATCCATCACTGCTGGATGTAGGTAAACTATAAATCCCAGCAACTACAACTCCCAAATGTCCAGGCCTATTTTCCCCAAACTCCACTAGTATTCACATTTGGGCATATTAAGTATTCATGCCAAGTTTGTTCCACATCCATTAATGTTTGAGTCCACAGTGCTCTCTGGATAGAGGAGAAGTACAACTCCCAAACTCAAGGTCAATGACCAGCAAACCCGGTATTTTCTGTAGGTCGTGGGAGTTCTGTGTGGCCAACTTTGGTTCAGTTCCATCGTTGGTAGGGTTCAGAACACTCTTTGATTGTGGGTTAACTATAAATCCCAGCAACTACAACTCCCAAATGTCCAGGTCTATTTTCCCCAAACTCCACTAGTGTTTACATTTGGGCATATTAAGTATTTGTGCCAAGTTTGGTCCAGATCCATCATTGCTCGATGTAGGAGAACTACAACTCCCAAACTCAAGGTCAGTGCCCAGCAAACCCTTCCAGTATTTTCTGTTGGTCGTGGGAGTTCTGTGTGGCCAACTTTAGTTCAGTTCCATCATTGGTGGAGTTCAGAACACTCTTGGATTGTGGGTTAACTATAAATCCCAGCAACTACAACTCCTAAAGGTCCAGGTCTATTTCCCCCAAACTCCACTAGTGTTTACATTTGGGCACACTGCGAGTGCGTATCCATGCCAAGTTTGGTCCAGATCCATCATTGTCTGAGTCCACAATGCTCTCTGGATGTAGGAGAACTACAACTCCCAAACTCAAAGTCCATACTCGCCAAACCCTGTTGGTCGTGGGAGTTCTGTGTGGCCAACTTTGGTTCAGTTCCATAGTTGTTGGGGTTCAAAATGCTCTTTGATTGTGGGTTAACTATAAATCCCAGCAACTACAACTCCCAAATGACAAAATCGCAGGAGAGAATGGTTCTGGGACATGGCCATACAGCCCAGAAAACCCACAGCAACCTACATTCAGAAAGCTGTTTACTTAACTGATCTGGATTTTTCTTTTTTCCATTTATGCATTTGTACATTAGTAATTTGGAGTAAAGTTTCCTGAAACAATTCCTTTTGTGTGTTGAGATCGTTCTCCCTATTCCTTCCGTGTTATTTCTGCCTCTCCTAACCCATTGGGTTATCCTGCCGACATTTGACTCAAGTCTGAGGCTGAGACAGTACACAATAGGATGTTGGCTGGGGAATATCACAAAGAGTAGTTATTTCTGACTTACGACAGTCTGAAAATGGGGTAAAAATGGGGTTTTCCCAACATCTGATTCAGATCTGAGGCTGAGAAAGCAAAGACGCTTGCACAGCGGCAAAGTAATACAGCAACCACAATGAGAGAGACTGTTTATTGACATTGTAAGACAAGAATTGCAAAATGGGCATCTGCCTTGACCAGGCCTCACTGATTGTCCATCTGTTCAAAGCTCATCCTTCTATCCAGCACAACGCTCTCCTTGTCCAGTTGTGGAGTCTAATTGTTTGGCCAAGGAGCGAGAACAAGAGTCCATGTTCGCCTTCGACGTTCTCGTTTGCACAGTTCCTTCATTGTTGTGTTCCTACGAATATTTGGTGTCCGAAATGGTCTTCCACAACACGGTCTTGAGGTTGTTCAACACCAGCGAGTGGTGGACCTCCATCTGGCTGGCCAGGCCGCTGAGCGTGGTGCAGGTCTTGAGCTGCTTCCCCAGGTCGTCCTTCAACTCGGAGGGTGCTCCGTGGAGCAGATACTCCTGCAGGAACCCGCAGACCTTGGCCAGGTTGGGTTGCACCACGTCGCTCTTGCACTGCTTCATGAGCTTGTCGCAAGGCGCCATGCAGTCCTTGCCGTAGGTGCAGTCGGCGTTCTGCTCGCAGCGCCGCCCTTTGAGGAAGCCCCGGACGGCCGTCTCGGCGGCCACCTTCCGCAGGTCCGTCATCTTGAAGTCGTGCCGCTCGTTGTAGCCCACGTCGGCGAAGGCCCCGTCACAGATGTAGAAGGTGCCGTAAGTGCCGTGGAAGATCTCCTCCACGAACTCCAAGAGGCCAATGGCAATTTTGGCCCGGCGCGGCCAAGCCGGGGAGAACCACCGGTGGAGGAGCCGGTGAATGGCGGAAGGCAACAACGGCTGCAGGAAAGAGGGGACCTCCACCGTGTAGAGCGACGTGTGTGGGATTTTCTCGGTCACGTACAAGTCCCCGCAATGGCCCAAGAGTCTGGAGGCGTGCTCCTTCTCGTGCAGAGAGAGGATCAGCAAGAAGTCATTCAGCTGGAGAAGGGCCCAGATGGACTTGGCCTCCGCCAGAGACAGTTTTCCATCTCGACTGACGTCGGCCATCACAATGATTTTGTTCACTAGGTTTCCCAAGGACGGTTGATCCCCGAGAGTGGACTGTGGAGACAAACACATATTTTTTATTATTATTATATAGCCACCCATCTGCTTACTCATGAATTTGCGATCTCTATGAATCTCTAGACCCTCCAATGTGACTCTATAGAGTTTCTAAAATGGAGTCTGAGTCCCGAATAGTCCCAGTATTGATCACATGGTCTAATTAGTATAGGAGGGTTGCTGTGAGTTTTCTAGACTGTTTGACTCATGAATTTGCTATCTCTATGAATCTCTAAACCCTCCAGTGTGACTCTAAAGAGTTTCTAAAATGGAGTCTGAGTCCCGAATAGTCCCAGTATTGATCACATAAGAGGGTTGCTGTGAGTTTTCTAGACTGTTTGACTCGTGAATTTGCTATCTCTATGAATCTCTAAACCCTCCAGTGTGACTCTAAAATGGAGTCTGAGTTCCGAATAGTCCCAGTATTGATCACATAAGAGGGTTGCTGTGAGTTTTCTAGACTGTTTTGACTCATGAATTTGTTTCCTCTATGAATCTCTAGGCCCTCCAGTGTGAGTAGAATTTCTAAAATGGAGTCTGAGTCCTGAATAGTCCCAGTTCTGATCACATGGTCTGCCGACCCTCCCACAACAGAGTTAAGTAAAACTGCATACCAATACACATACAGTACAGCAAGCAATCAGAATTATATACATAACAAATAACTACTATAGGAGGGTTGCTGTGAGTTTTCTAGACTGTAACTCATGAATTTGCTATCTCTATGAATCTCTAAACCCTCCAGTGTGACTCTATAGAGTTTCTAAAATGGAGTCTGAGTCCCGAATAGTCCCAGTATTGATCACATAGGAGGGTTGCTTTGAGTTTTCTAAACTGTTTGACTCATGAATTTGCTATCTCTATGAATCTCTAAACCCTCCGGTGTGACTCTATAGAGTTTCTAAAATGGAGTCTGAGTCCCGAATAGTCCCAGTATTGATCACATGGTCTGCTGCCCCTCCCACAACAGAGTTAAGGAAAACTACATACCAATACACACATATACAATACGGTAAGCAATCTGAATTATATACATAACAAATAACTACTATAGGAGGGTTGCTGTGAGTTTTCTAGACTCATGGATTTGCTATCTCTATGAATCTCTAGGCCCTTCAGTGTGAGTATAATTTCTAAAATGGAGTCTGAGTCCTGAATAGTCCCAGTTGTGATCACATGGTCTGCAGCCTCTCTCACAACACAGAGTTAAGGAAAACTGCATACCAATACACACAGCAAGCAATCTGAATTATATACATAATTAGTATAGGAGGGTTGCTGTGAGTTTTCCAGGCTGTGTGACTCAATGAATTTGCTATCTCTATGAATCTCTAAACCCTCCAGTGTGACTATAGTTTCTAAAATGGAGTCTGAGTCCTGAATAGTCCCAGTTCTGATCACATGGAATGCCGCCCCTCCCACAACATAAGAGTTACGCTCACAGAACTCCCATGACCATCAGAAAATACTTGAAGTGGGTGGTGGGTTCAGAATGCTCTCTGATTGTAGGTGAACTATAAATCCCAGCAACTACAACTCCCAAATGACAAGGTCTATTTTCCCCCAAACTCCACCAGTGTTCACATTTGGGCATATTGAGTACCTGTGCCAAGTTTGGTCCAGATCCATCATTGAGTCCACAGTGCTCTCTGGATGGAGGTAAACTACAAACTCCAAAACTCAAGGTCAGTGCCCACCATTAAGTCTGGGAAATGCGAGTTCTCTCTGTGAGACAACTGGCTCAGAAAGTGCAGGGCCCCAAGGGAATTCAGTGGAGTCAGAAGTAGCAACAGCAGATAAGTAATCCAGTGAAGAGCTGAGTGATAAGGAGGGTTCCAAGAGAAACCACGTGTAGTATGAAGGGCAACAAAAACCCTTCATTTACAACTCAGCTAAAAATAGATTCAAAGAGATTACATGGGAAAGTTGTGAAGGAAATTCTTGGGAAACGGAATGATTTCATGGGTGTCTATTAGACAGTAAGTTGTTTACCTTCAGGTCAGTTCAGTCAACGCTGGGTGAGAGTGAGAAGCTAAGCCTGAGTTCTCTCGTTCCTGGTTCCTGGGAGTTATAGTTGTGCGAGCCACCAGAACTCTTGGGCAGAGAAGGCTAAAACTCTTTCAAAACTACAAATCCCAGGGTTCCACAAGCACACGTCATGTACGAACTGGCTTTTAGAGTTGACTTTGCTCTAGTCTCTCCTAGTTGCAAAAACCACTCACTTTTAAGAAGTTGAGAAGCATCTCCCGGAACTCGTCCATCGAAGTCCCCCTTGTTGGCTTGTTGAAGAGAACTATGTCTCTCCGGGGCCCTGACTCTGGGAAAGCGTCAGCCTTCAAGGCTTCTTCGATGCCGCATTTGATGATCACTCCCGTCTCCTTCCAGAGCCCACTGTATACCTGGAAAGGAGAGGAGGCTGGTGGTGAGCTAATATGGTATTGATAGCCAAATATCAACCTGGTTAGCCACCAACCCTGCAACGTCGTCCCCAGCATGGACTACCATGCCTCCATCTTTTGACATCCTGAGACTTGTAGTTCCATGATGTCGTTCTTTTCACCTCCATTACGGAGAGGTTACTGCCTTTGCCAATGAACCTGAGACAGCAGCGAAATATGGTAACCCCACTATATGTCGCTGAACGACAACTTCCATATTCCTGCCAAACTGATGGGAGTTGTAATCCAGCCTTTACCTGTTGGGTAGGAGAGGAAGAGAGGCATTGCTGGAAAACCAAGGTGTGTTCCTCGCAAAGGTCTTTGCACGTCGATCCAGAAATGATCCCTTTGTGATACTGATCACACTGGGGAGGGAAAGAGAAAGCAATCAAGACAGGATGTAAATAAATATAATGATGATTCTGGAGGCAGCTGCTGTCAGTCTTTCCTGTTGTAGGTAGACACACACACAATAAGATACTCTACTGCAGTGGTTCTCAACCTGGGGTCCCCAGATGTTTTTAGCCTTCAACTCCCAGAAATCATAACAGCTGGTAAACTAGCTGGGATTTCTGGGAGTTGTAGGCCAAAAACATCTGGGGACCCCAGGTTGAGAACCACTGCTCTACTGCCACTCAAAGTTAATTAATCAATTGATTGATTGTCATTTAGTCGAGAGACACCAATTCAGGCCTTCTGTGGCATTTGTGCTATTGCAAAATCAGAGATTTATTGAAGAATATATGTAGACAAAGCAGCAAACATTGCAAAAACAATAAAATTCCCCAAACAAAGGATAGTCCATGAGTTTCAAGACAACATAAGATCTATTGGAACAACAACCCTTGAAACAAGGCACAAGAATCCATGAAACAAGCCAGCATGAAAAATCCAGGCGCTTGGCAAAAACTTGGTACATGAAACTAAGAACACTTGAGAGCAAGATCCATCATGAAATTCCAACGTTGACCTAACTGAGACAAGTCTTTCTCATTAATATAAGCTTTTCCAGATCCCAAAACTGAAAGGAAAGCATTTCTTTTGACCTTACCACCAGATAAAGGTTTCTTATCTCTCTTTTCCTGTAAACGAACTGGCAAAGCAGTAAAACTGGCAAAAACAATAAAGTTCCCCAAACAAAGGATAGTGCATGAGCTTCAAGTCAAAATAAGCTCTATTGGAACAACAATCCTTGAAACAAGACACAAGAATCCATGAAACAAGCCAGCATTAAAAATCCAGGAGCTTGGCAAAAACTTGGTACATGAAACTAAGAACACTTGAGAGCAAGACCATCATGAAATTCCAACGTTGACCCAACTGAAGCAACTCTTTCCCATCAAAATAAGCTTTTCCAGATCCTAAAACTGAAAGGAGAGCATTTCTCTTGACCTTACCACTAGATAAAGGTTTCTGGCAGCGTTAAAAATCCAATACACAAATCAGGAGCTTGGCAAAAACTTGGTACATGAAACTAAGAACATTTGAGAGCAAGATCCATCATGAAATTCCAACGTTGACCTAACTGAGGCAAGTATTTCCCATTAATATAACATTTTCCAGATCCCAAAACTGAAAGGAAAGCATTTCTCTTGACCTTACCACCAGATAAAGGTTTCTTATCTCTCTTTTCCTGTAAACAAACTGATCTTTCTTGCGCCTGAGCACTCTGTCTCTGGGTTCTAGTAGGTTGTTCCGGGCTATATGGCCATGTTCTAGAGGCATTTTCTCCTGACGTTTCGCCTGCATCTATGGCAAGCATCCTCAGAGGTAGTGAGAGTGCTTGCCATAGATGCAGGCGAAATCTCAGGAGAAAATGCCTCTAGAACATGGCCATATAGCCCGGAAAAACCTACAACAACCCAGTGATTCCGGCCACGAAAGCCTTCGACAACACTCTGTCTCTGTTTACAAAAGCCTTGCCTTCTATCTACACCGACCCCTCTGAAACCCCCTCGCAACTCTCCCAGGGGTCCCAACCCCCAGGTTGAGAAATGCTGATCTACACTCATTAAGTTGACTCTCATTAGCTTCTGACAAATCATCTTCAGACAGTTGATCTGAGAAAGACTGTGAAGGGCCTCTCCCAGGAATGTGGCCTTGGGAATCTTCCTGAGACAGCTCAGACCTCTCGTCTGAGCTTAACTCAGGCCCAGGCAAACCCTCATCCCCATTTCCAACAGGCCCACCATGAGGAACATCAGACACAATCACAGGCTGACACACAACAAAAACTCACAATGATGGCCTGGCAGACGTGTCCCCGGCAGAGCTCCGAATAGGACGAGTAATGCATGTAGACCACCCAGCTGCCCACGAAAATGCCCAGCCAGACAAAGAAGAGGTATTTCACCTTGATGCCAGGGAGGCGGCTCTGCAAAATAATAATAATAATAATAATGAAGTTTAGCATTAGTTAGCGAGACACCCTCCCTCTATCCCAACTGTCACTGCCTTGGCTTCAGAAGGAGAGAAGAGCAGCCAAGCACAGTACCACCGTTCCTTGTAGAGAGGCCATCCCTCCGTTCCAACTGCCACTGCCCTGGTTCCAGCGGGAGAGAAGAGCAGACAAGGCACAGCTCGACCGTGCCATGACCACGTGGTGCGATGGATGCCCTCCCTTCCACCCCAACTGCCACTGCCTTGGCTTCAGAGGGAGAGAAGAGCAGCCTGATGCAGACATGGCGTCACCATGGAAGTGGGGACTACCTTTTATTTTGGCACTATGCAAGCAAGGTGTGCCTGTACTGCATACCTAGGACTATTATAAAATAGCTACTACTTCCTGGGACCTATTATTATTATCATTGTTATATTATATTATATTATATTATTACATAATGATATAAATGTATACTATTATTATGTAAATATTATTGCTTTATTATTATTATTATTATTATTATTATTATTATTATTATTATTATTAAATAGCTATTACTACCTGGGACCTATTATTATTATCATTATATTATATTATATAATTACATAATGATATAAATGTATACTATTATTATATTAATATTATATTTTATTATTATTATTAAATAGCTACTACTACCTGGGACCTATTATTACTATCATCGTTATTTTATATTATATAATTACATAATGATATAAATGTATACTATTATTATTAAATAGCTACTACTACCTGGGACCTATTATTATTATTATCATCATTATATTATATAATTATATAAATATGTTATTATTATTATTATGATTAAATAGCTAGTACTAAATTATATAAATTTATTATTATTATTATTATTATTATTATTATTAAATCACTACTACTACCTGGGACCCATTATTATTATTATTATCATTATATTATATATTTATATAATTATATAAATATATTATTATCTATATATTTATATAATTATATAAATATATTATTATTATTATTATTATTATTATTATTATTATTATTAAATAGCTACTACTACCTGGGACCTATTATTATTATCATTATATTATTATATAAATATATATTTTATTATTATTATAATTATTATTATTAAATAGCTACTACTACCTGGGACCTATTATTATCATCATTATATTATATAAATATATTATTATTATTATAATTATTATTATTATATAGCTACTTACTACCTGGGATCTATTATTATCATCATTATATTATATAATTATATTATTATTATTATTATTATTATTATTATTATTATTATTATTAAATCACTACTACTACCTGGGACCCATTATTATTATTATTATCATTATATTATATATTTATATAATTATATAAATATATTATTATTATCTATATATTTATATAATTATATAAATATATTATTATTATTATTATTATTATTATTATTATTAAATAGCTACTACTACCTGGGACCTATTATTATTATCATTATATTATTATATAAATATATATTTTATTATTATTATAATTATTATTATTAAATAGCTACTACTACCTGGGACCTATTATTATCATCATTATATTATATAAATATATTATTATTATTATAATTATTATTATTATATAGCTACTTACTACCTGGGATCTATTATTATCATCATTATATTATATAATTATATTATTATTATTATTATTATTATTATTATTATTATTATTATTAAATCACTACTACTACCTGGGACCCATTATTATTATTATTATCATTATATTATATATTTATATAATTATATAAATATATTATTATTATCTATATATTTATATAATTATATAAATATATTATTATTATTATTATTATTATTATTATTATTAAATAGCTACTACTACCTGGGACCTATTATTATTATCATTATATTATTATATAAATATATATTTTATTATTATTATTATTATTATTATTATTATTATTATTATTAAATAGCTACTACTACCTGGGACCTATTATTATTATCATATTATATAAATATATTATTATTATTATTATTATTATTATTAAATAGCTACTACTACTACCTGGGACCTATTATTATCATCATTATATTATATAAATATATTATTATTATTATTATTATTATTATTATATAGCTACTTACTACCTGGGATCTATTATTATCATCATTATATTATATAATTATATAAATATATTATTATTATTATTATTAAATAATAATAGATCTATTATCTATTATAGCTTCCTGGGACCTATTATCATCATTATATAATTATATAATAATATACTATTATTATTATTGTTCTATTATAATTATAAAACCTACTAAGACCTGGGACTAGGTTTTTTTTTTGCATTTGGGAGGGGGGGGGGCTTCTGAATTGCATAATTAATTCCCACCCATTGCATTGACCTACCTGGGGGGAGGAGAGGCTGCCTTGCAAAGCTGGAATATATACTATAATAATAATATTATTATTGTTCTATTATAATTATAAAACCTACTAAGACCTGGGACTAGGTTTTTTTTTGCATTTGGGAGGGGGGGGGCTTCTGAATTGCATAATGAATTCCCACCCATTGAATTGGCATAACTACCTGGGGGAGGAGAGTCTGCCTTGCAAAGCTGGAGTCCATCTCTTGCATCTCTTGCAGGGAGGCCTCCAATGGCACCTTCAGCATCAATGGGGTGTGGGGTCCCCCCCCCCTCCTCCAGAGCCCACCCCCCAATTTGCCCCCTTACCTGCAGACCCCTATTAAAGGGGCAGAAAAGCACCAGGCGCTTCAGCCTCCGCATGCTGGGCTGGGCATTGGTTGGGGGGTCCAGGAAATCCAATGCAACCACAAAAAGGGGGGGAAAGGGGGAGGTTTGTGTTGCAGCTTCAGCTCAAATGCATCAATAATCCAAGCAGAGGCATCCCTAGATGCTCAAGCCACTCATTGGGGGGCAAGGAAAGGGGGTTGGGAAGCAGCAAAAGGGACTCCCCCCCCCTCTAAAACTAAATAAATAAATACATATTCTCTGTGTATTCCTTGGAGGAGGAGGAGGCTGCTTCTGCTGCAGCAAAGTGGTGCTCTTCCCTTAAAGGGGAGGTCTGCCCGGGTCTCCCTTTTTTGCCCTCCGATAGAAAAAGAGAAATGCCTCCCCATTCCTTCCCTGCAAAACAAAGCATGGGAAAAGCAAGGAATTTAAAATGCATTTCAATTTATTTTCAATGGTGTGGGTTTTGTTCTTGCCTAATGTGGTTTGTTTACATTGCAGCCCAGATTTCACCTGCTGCTTCCTCTTGGGTTGTCTATCTATTTGTCGTGTATATAGACAGTTGCAATGTATTTCAAAACACAAACAAAGTCACAAACTTGGTGTTATACTAGATTTCCTTTGACCACTCTGGTATTGCCGCAGGAAGGTCCTCCCTTGTGCAGGCTGCATTGCAATAGGTGGTCTGTGGTTTGCACTTCTCCGCATTCGCACATCGTGGACTCCACTTTGTGGCCCCATTTTCTGCATCTCGTGTGCCAGAGCTCACCCTGTACTCCACTTTGTGGCCCCATTTCTTAAGTGTGGCCTGTTCAGCACCTTCCAAGTTCCCCAGTCTTCTGAGTGTCCAGGAGGGAGGTTCTGGATTTTTAGCCTGCCACTTTTGGACTCTTGCTTGCTGAGCTGTTTCTACGAGTCTCTCTGTAGATCTTAGGAAGCTATTTCTTGATTTAAGACAGTGTTTCTCAACCTGGGGGTCGGGACCCCTGAGGGGGTCATGAGGGGGTGTCAGAGGGGTCGCCAAAGACCAACAGAAAACACAATATTTTCTGTTGGGCATCAGGATTCTGTGTGGGAAGTTTCCCAATTCTATTGTTGGTGGGGTTCAGAATGCTCTTGATTGTAGGTGAACTATAAATCCCAGCAACTACAACTCCCAAATGTTTCGTTTATTTTCC